TCTGTTAAGGATGCTCTTTTGTGTACCCCATCAGTTTCTGAGGCATCTCTAGTAATGAGGTGCAGGAGATAGCCTTCTCTGTTTGCTCCCAGGCTGTGAAACTCTTCCACAAGAGAACTCTCTGTCATCCGCTAATGATTGTCCACTACCTTTTGAAAAAGGGACGCGGGTGGCGCTGTGGGTAAAACCTCAGTGCCTAGGACTTGCCGATCACATGGTCGGCGGTTCGAATCCCCGCAGCGGGGTGAGCTCCCGTCTTTCGGTCCCAGCTCCTGCCCACCTAGCAGTTCGAAAGCACCCTTAAGTGCAAGTAGATAAATAGGTACCGCTTTATAGCAGGAAGGTAAACGGCGTTTCCGTGTGCTGCGCTGGTGCTGGCTCGCCAGCTGCAGCTTCATCACGCTGGCCACGTGACCCGGAAGTGTCTTCGGACGGCGCCGGCTCACGGCCTCTAGAGCGAGATGAGCATGCAACCCTAGAGTCGGAAACGACTGGCCCCTATGGGCAGGGGTACCTTTTTACCTTTTGAAAACTCATCTGTCCTGGCAGATGTTTTCAAATTTTATGTAATTAGTCTGCATTATATGCCTTTTCTCTCTCCACTTAGTTTTTGTTACTGTTGTCATTCGTACTGCATTTTATTGCTTTTGATACTGTGTATTTTATTTCAGACACACTGGACATTTTTGTGTGGAAAAGCAGCGTGCAAATTTGCTGTAAAAAAAGAGGGTGGGAATAAAATGAGATGGCTTTATCTATCTTGATCTGCTTGTGGACTCTCTAGAGACACCTGACTGGCCACTGTGGAAGACTGATTAAACTAACCTGCACCTCTGTGTAAAGCTAGATTAAATAGACTTTTATGGTGACATCCTGCATGGAAATTCTGGCATTCTCATGTTCAGCAGCACCCTATCTGTGGATGGGGAAGATACCCCATTGTTTAGTGTTTGACATTTTAAGTATCTGTGCAGGATGCTCAAATCCTTTGGGATAAAAGATAGATTTTTAAAAATCCCTTGCTGTTTATCACCTGTGCATCCCACTCCTCTTCCAAAGACCTCAGAGTGGATTTATGTATTAATTTTCTTATATTTATATTTCACCTTTCTTCCACCATGGAACCCAAAGTGGCATTCATGTGCTTCCTAACTTCAGTAAGATGGTGGCCTCATATCATGCCTGGGCTGCATATTGTTCCCAGGTGAATTCCCATCTTGATATTATGGTGCCTTGTATACTGAGCCACCATCAGAAGAACTTCCTCATGTTTCTTTGAGTAACACTGTAGTGAAGAAACGTGCTGTTTCTTCCAGGAAGTGGCCTTATTGGTGTTAAGTAAGAAAAGAAAAATGGAGATTGGATCATTTCTGTGAAGGTGTAGCATAAATTGACCTGATAACAGATGTGCATTGCATCTCAAATCCCTTGATTACATCTTACTGTACTACAGTAGTATCTTGGTTTCCGAACTTAATCCGTTCTGGAAGTCCGTTCTTAAACCAAAGAGTTCTTAAACCAAAGCGTGCTTTCCCATAGCAGCGGGGGACTCAATTTACAAATGGAACACACTCAACAGGAAGCAAAACATGTTCTCATTCCAAGGCAAAGTTCATAAACCACAACACCTACTTCTGGGTTTGCAGCATTCTTAATCCAAGTTGTTCATAAACTAAGCTGTGCTTAAACCAAGGTACGACTGTACTGCTGTTTTCAAAACAGGACCACGTTGCAATAAGTGACCAACAGTTAGATATCAACAGCTATATATGCTGATCAGATGCATAGCTTCAATCTTTTCTCCTCTTAAGAACATTTTATAGGAAAGCAGGTGCCACAGCCTCAATCTAGTTTACGGGTATATGAACCCAGGTGGAGAGAGAATTAATAGTTCTGCCTCCCTGTTTCCATCAGGCAAACATATGTACCTAAGCAGAGGCTCTAGGCTAGTTGGGATAACAGCTGCAAAACTGCATGAAGAGAGAAGAGCCCGTTCAGGCAGTTTCAGATATTCCAACAGAGCAAATAAGTGTAGCAAGGAAGATTACTGGAAATAAGTAGCAATAACTTTGTCGATTGAGAATGCATGTTAATCAAATGAAAGGGAGGTAGCAAGCTGGAGGGATCAACTTTTTGCCTTCACATAGGAGATTATTTCAGACCCGTGCTATTGAAGGAATAGGGGTGTATGTTATTTCTAGATCCACCTTGCACGAGCATCATATTTGCTATTGCATTACTATGACAGAAGCTGTAGCAGTGAATATACCGTAATATAAATCAAGCTGGATTGCAGTTGTGTAATATGGACAAACTGGACATTTGAAAGTATGTATGGTTTGTTTGAGTAGTTATGAAATTTAGGACTGTATCCAACAGCTTTTAACATGATAGCCTTCAGTGGCCGATCTTGTACAGATACACACCCTTTTTTGTATTTAACCTTATAGGTCTTCTGCAAAATGGGCTGAAGCAAAATTTGGAGCAAATACCAAAAGGTTTAGTTCAAAGAAATTGAGATTTTATAAAATCAAGGCAGAGTGTGGTTCTATCAGTAGCCTGAATACAATATTTCAGGGTGCCTCCCCTCATGGTTATAGAGCTTCACAAATTTACATCCGAAGGGTACCTTGTCCCATGTATAGTGATATCATGCAAATGAACCCCTGTCAGTTGTTTCCACTTGGGAAGTCTCCTACGCAGTGTGGGGAGCCAATTGTCAACAAACCAACCATCACGTATGAAAGAGTATCTACGGTTCCACTCATTCCAACAGCAAACAGTTGGTTGTGCCTTGAGGGATTGGAGATGCAGCAATGAGTACCAACCAGCTGTTTGGGGGGCAGGGCCATTACTCAGTGGTAGAGCATCCCGAAGGGGCCTGATTCAGTCCCCAGCATCTCCAGGAAGGGCTGGGAATGTGCCCTATCAGAGACCCTGAGAACTACTGTCAATCAGTGAAGACACATTACTCTGCTAGACAGGCCAATGGTCTGGCTCAGTATAAGGTAGCTTCCTATGTCCCCTACCCAGCAATAATAGCAAACATCTTGAAGGAAATATCTCCATGTTTGCCAACCCATGTATCTGCAGGTATGCTGATGCTGGTGTTGGTGGCAGTGGTCCATTAATAAAAAAGATTTAGAAAAATCAGCGCTGGAAAGTACAGCAATGCAGCGCAATACAGAACCACCCCCACTAGCATCCATTCTAAGATGTATGAGGCAACATAGCATGGCAGAATAAAAGTTAACGTACAGGAAACGTGTCAGTTTGGGTAGTTCAGTGAAGCCATTTGATGTGTGGTAGCATGGTAATTACAGCATATTGGAGCAATCTCCTCTATATACAGCATTGTACTTAGGAAATGGAAGAGGGAAATTGTTCTTTCCAAGTAGCTAGTTGGTGTCCTCTGAATAAATTGATTCCTACCTTAATGCAGAGCAACAAGAGGATGTTCGCTGGCAACTCAAGTAATGAGCCATCCTTTTCTCTTAAGGAGCTCCAGGCTGAGTCAGTGCAGATGTTGCTGCAGTCCCCTCTGTGGCAAGCTGCTTATCCGAGTGGTCTATTCAAGATTGCAATTCTCTTTCTGAGATTAGGAAAACTGCATTCCCTTACCTTCAGTTGGGGAAGTAGCCCCATCGATTGTATGTCCTTACTTCAGAGAGAAGAACATATCACAGATATTTGACAATGTACTGTTTCAAGGTAAACAACAGCTACCATATTCCAATTCACCTTTTCTTTTTCACACTGAACAAGACGTTAGAGGTGCTATAGGTATGGGCTTAACACACTGCGAAGCTCCTGAAAACTAATGGCTTCTATTAATAATTTAATTTAGAAATTTAAAAGCCATAGTCCTAAATACCCGTATTTGCAAGTAAGCACTTTTCAGAAGGAGCCTCGCTGCTGCATGGAGAAGTTTAAGATAAAAGTGCAGCTGTAAGCTTCATAGAATAGTTAGGCTTTTAAAATTTTATATGAAGATTTAGATTGCAATGGCTGAAGGTCAGGGTTTAGCAATATTGTCCATGCATTTTGCAGTAAGTAGATGGCCATGACCATAAAAAGATTTTAAAATTAATTTATTAACCGCCATTTGTGGGATTATTCAGTAATTGTGCCATTATGGCTCCATCAGAATGAAATTCAGATTTCCCAATTAAATAAGTTAAGTGTGAAACAGATGCAGCAGGCTTTATGTGGAATTGTATGTGAATTCTGTTGTTGTATGGGGTTGTTTGAATAAGCAGTTCAAGGCAGAAATGTGCAATTGGTGTGGATTAACCAATATTTCTAAGGAGTCCTGCTTAAGCATTCCCTAAGGTAGTTAGTCTTTCAGCCTGCAAACATTTTCCTCTGTCTCTGCTTCTGCCAGTTTGCTTGTATAAAATGTACCAAAATGTTTTTAGTTGTTTCTGCTGGGATTCCTAAAAGATGTACCAGTATCACTTTGATTCTGGGTGCTGGCGATTCACTCTTATTGCTGTGCTTCTTTCTTAGATAATGTTTTGCATTTTGAATCTTTTTGCAGCCTGTTAGCACACTCACGCCCTTGACTTAAAATGGAAATTAATTCCTATCAGGGTATTTTTCTAGAAAAGGGGGTGCCAGAACTCACCTTGTTCTCTTAGAATGGAAATGGCACCCACCTGAGACGTGCTGGAACTAAGTTCCGGCTGAAAAAACCCCCCTGCTTATAGTACTTTTTAAAGATTTTGTGACTTGCAAACAATTCCATTCTCTCTCCTCACCCACCGGCTTTAAATTCAGATGAGCAAAAAATTGTAAGGTATGGGAATTGGCTTGTGAACTGTATCCATACTGAATGACAGATGGCAACAAGAAGTATATCTCCTGAAAGGCTCTACCAGTTCATTGTCTTCCCTACAGTAGGATGTTGCTAGATTGGCGTCCTGGCATGGGTCATCTGAAATAACCTAGCACTTGCTGTTTTTCTTAATAAATCTTTCCTTCCTGTTTTCCTTTCCTAGGCACACCAAAGGCTTCCTCCTTGGCAGACCATGAGAGTAGTCTATTGCAGTACTGTAGTGCCCTCTGATGGTGAGTACAATAAATAAATTTGTTCAAGACAAGATTCCTACCCCAATGCTCAAAGATTGTGTGTCTGTATTGGTATTTTTTAAAATCAAGGGTGTGCCTCAGTATTTCCCTCCCCCCCCCCTAGAAGTTGTGGCAAATGAGGTTCACTTGTAGGCAGAAGCACTTCAAAATTTGATGAAATGGTTTGCTGGTTAAAATAAATACCTTTACCTACTCTAACATTCTCGCACTGCTTTGTTGCAAGAAGGCAGTGGTACGTGATTTTCTTTGCCACTTACCTTTTTCTCTTTTTGCCCATTCTTAAATTAGAGGAGGATCTTTTCCCATTGTTTGTTTTGTTCTTGGTGACTTCATGTCACCTTACCAGTCTTGTTTAGGGCTACCTTTTCAAGGTCAACTCCATGCCTTGAAGGTCAGTCAGAATTCTTCTTGCAGAGATTCAGAATGACGCGTAGCTGCGTTTGGACTTCTGCTTCAAAAACCAACTTGAAACATATCGCTTCCCTTTTCCTTTTTAAAATTCATTTTTCTTCTTTGCTTTGCATATGTACCTTTCACAACTGATACTTTAAAGAGCTTTAGCGTTTCCTGCATCTTAGTTTGAGTTTGAAACCAATATGGCTAGTATGCATATGTGGTCTTAAAGCGACAGGCTTTGGTTTTCTTTGCTGTGGGTTCGTGTCCTCTCCAAAAATGTGTAAATTCCAGACTAAAGACATTCACGGCGGCTGTTGCCCCAGTTTCCTTAGCTGTATTTGCGTAAGAGGAGTTGTGGCTGTAGTTGCTCAAAATGGCCTCTCCCAACTCTCTGGCTGAGGGACATCTGGTCCTGGGAATGTTCCAAAGGAGTTCTGAGGTCAATGTAGAGTCTACCAGAGTCATGCAGAAACATTGTGCGCAGCAAAAAGCCAGTGAGATTTTCAGCTAACCAGAACAATTCTTTTAAAAACAAAACACCTTCGCCCTCTCCCTTCACAGACCTCCAACAGAAGCTATAGCCTCTGAATTATGTAGTCAAACCTCTGGCATCGCCCCATTGTTAAAATGTTGCTGAATTATTAGAGCTGTTGTAAGATAGAGTCAGCTAGATGCTGTGTGTATTGAGTTTATATTTCCCCTTGTTTTTATCTAGTGTCACAGAATGTGTACCTGTCATACTGATGGGAAACCTGAAGTATCCTGCCCACTGTCCACTTGGGCACTTGAAACATGGCTGTTACCCCACCAAAAAATAGTTGAACCAGATCAGCAGTCAGAACTGTTCTGTATTTATTTTAAGTATGCTAATTTTTTTGAAATGATTTTCTACTTAGTAGTGAACTCGCATTTTTAAACTACAGAGAGAGGGAGAGGGAGGGAGTTTAAAATGCTAACCAAAAAGAAAAGTATTTCAAAACCTTGGGGATACATTAAGCTATTTCCAATAGTACCATGTTAAAACTGAGTTCAAGAAAAAACCGTCCATTAAGAATGAATTATGAGATTTCTATAATTTCATTACTAACATGGTATTTTCAGTAGAGAGATTTTTTTAAATGCAAAAATAATCATTTCTTCACTTAGATGGCGGAAAGCTCCTGGCACTGAATGCTATTGTTATATATTAAATTTATGCACCACCCTTCGTCTGAAGATCAAAGGGCAGTTTACAGCATAAAAATACAAAATGAAGACACAAAATACCATAATTGCAACAACAACTAATAACCCCTCTCCTACAAACACATTTAAAAGACCATACATGGTTTAATCAGCCAAAGGCCAGGTTATAGATGAATGTTTGTTATTGTTCTTGGGTTTTGTGTTGGTATTTTTTTAAAGAGAAGTTAAAATAATTTGCCTAAATATTGAAGCATCTTACATGGGCCATTGAATAACAAGACAGATACTTGTTACTGGTGTTGTTTTCTGTAGATCGGACTTTGCATGCAAAGTCTATGTGGCATTTGTTATTCGTTATTTTGCTTTTGGGAATGGCATTGCTGTTGCACACAAACTTTCAAGTTCCCCCAAATGAGTCCTAGGACCAGCTGCTGGAACCTCTGCTTTATGAATTTAGCAATAGTGTTTATTTTAAATTACATGATATACTTGAAGTAATCTCTTTCTAATGTCTGCTTCCCTGCCCCCAGACGTTACAGTGGTTTATCAAAACGGGTTACCTGTAATATCTGTGAATCTTCCTTCTCGGCGTGAGCGGTGCCAGTTTACACTTAAGCCTATATCGGATTCTGTTGGGGTATTCTTACGGCAACTACAAGCAGAAGACCGGGGAATCGACCGGGTTGCCATTTACTCACCAGGTACCACTCAGCATTACTGAAGCAATTGGATGAACACCTACAATACAATGTTAGATTCTGCACTTGTTTTCTGTGCTTATAGTTCCTTTAGTTTGTTAATGCATTTTCATCAAAACCTCTTTTAAAACTGATGTGGATGTTATATCATATTAGCAGTATTTCACATGTCCTGTAAAACTGTTATGTTGAGGGTGGGGGTGAAGATAATCCTCACTCTAGAAAATATTGTCTCTTTGATGTTTTCTTAAGCATACCTAAGATTCATAATGTATAAGCTCATTTAATAAAAAGGATACTTGGTTTCTTGTGGCTACAGTTAACTACAGTACTGGTCACTTTTATTTCTTTGGAATAGCGGGTCTTGTGATATAAACTGCTTTCTAGATGAGGTACGGTAAGCTTTTAATTCTGTGCTGCCTACTACTAGGCCTGTAGAGGTTGGTTCTAGGTTCTAGGTAAGAGGTTGGTTCTATCTTCTTTGATTACTGGAAAAAGGAGAGATGCAATGCAGGAAACTATACGATTTTGCCACAAATTATAGTTTACCAAGCGGATAACAAACAAATGGGCTAGCTCTACATGGCGTTAACCTGTGTGCTAGAATACTGGTTGTGACAAAGACTTAGGCAGAGAGTGGGGTTCAGCATCCCAAATTGCTGCTACTCCAGCCAGTGTGGTGTAGTGGTTAAGAGCGGTAGACTCGTAATCTGGGGAACCGGGTTCGCGTCTCTGCTCCTCCACATGCAGCTGCTGGGTGACCTTGGGCTAGTCACACTTCTCTGAAGTCTCTCAGCCCCACTCACCTCACAGAGTATTTGTTGTGGGGGAGGAAGGGAAAGGAGAATGTTAGCCGCTTTGAGACTCCTTCGGGTAGTGATAAAGCGGGATATCAAATCCAAACTCTTCTTCTTCTTCTTAAATCCTACCCCACTTCAAACCATTTTGGCAACATTCTAACACATAGGCCTGCCATTGCAATTCACACATATCAAGGATACCTCATATTTTGGGAAGCTTTCGTTTTACAAATTTGAAGCTGCAGATTGCACTCCTGGAAATGGGTTTTGAATTTTATATATATATATATACACACACACACACACACACACACACACACAAAGTATTCTACACTGTTTTGCAGTGGAATGCAGTACATTGATATTAATTTCTGGATAGTTCTGAATAAAATCTTTTCCCTCTTTCCCCTTTCAGATGGGACACGTGTTGCCTCTTCAACAGGCATAGATCTCCTACTCCTGGATGATTTCAAACTAGTAATTAATGACTTGACTTACCATGTTCGTCCACCAAAGAGAGGTAACGACTTCATGCAATTGGGATGTATTTCCAGAAGTTATTTTTTGGGAAAACCCTCCATCTAGCAATTTTTAAAAAGATCATTTCATCCATACTGAAAAAGACTAGTTGATGGTTCATCTTCCGCAAACCTATGCATTCAGAATTCTGAGCAGATCATTCTTTCCCTGACTGTCAGGATGTGAAGATAACTGTGAAAATATTCCAACAGCTTCTCCAGCATCTCTAAGGCAGAACTATTGTGACTTGCCTAGTTCTTTGCTCCACCCCCCTACGTCTCCAGTCACTCCCCCCCCCCCACTACACACATCCATTCTTATGGCCTCCTCTCATTCATACTTCTCATCCTTAATTTTTTTAAAATCTCAGTTTCTATAAGAAGCACTTCAACTTAAAGAAATGACAGTCTGGTAGAGAGAACCCACGATCCAGTGGCAAATCAATGTCCTCTCTTATAAGAGATTCCTCTAGTCTAGGGTAAAGGATGCTGGGGGGATGGGACACCCCATATAGATCACTGAATGTATGACAGGTGTATTGATCTCATGATCACTTGACTTCCAGCTGTACACATTGTTGTTACTACCATGGAACCTCGGTTTTTGAGCGTCTCGGAAGTTGAGCATTTTGGCTTTCGAATGCTGAAAACCCGAAAGTAGCTGCTTCAGTTTTCAAACAATTTTCAGAAGCCAAATGTGCCACACGGCTTCCATTTTGAGTTTCCCTTTTGTATTGAAGCTTCTGCTTTCAGTTTTCTAACGTTTCGGAAGTCGAACGGTCTTCTGGAACAGATTACATTCGAAAACTGAGGTTCCACTGTATAAGGCACCTTGTTAGTCTGCTAGGGATTCTTTGGGAAGTGCCAACGCAACACACACGAACTTCAATTCAAAGAACAGCAACCAGTATCCTGCTAATGGAACAGGGTTTTTCCATCTCTTCCTACCTCCCCACTGCAGTCCCCCAGCACCTCCTGAGAAGCTGCTCCTGAAGGTCGGAACCTCAAGAATGGTGTGTAATAGAACATGGGGAGATAGAGAGAGAGATGCTAGTCAGTAGAACCACCAACACTTCTCAGTTTGTGTGAACTGTAATTCCTCTCTGCTGTGGAACAAAAGCAGTGGTGAATTTTAGGTTCCAAAATGCAGCACATCGCTAGGGCAAAAACCAGGTATATTAATAAAACTATGCTATCAGCCATGTGGCAACTGTGACTTTGAATATTTAAAAAGGCAGCAAAAATGATTAACTGGCAACTTCGCCTACCATCTGCTGAAATCCTGGGTCTTGATTTGGCCTAGGAGTCAAGAGCAGCGTTCAAGCCAAGTGCTCTTCACAATGTCAAGCATTTCTGAGGTTTCGGTTTTGCTGTTTGCTAGAACTTTTCTGTGAAATTCTTAAAAGTTGAATGTCACACAAAAAATATGATTGCATGGCTGTGCCCACAAATAACAGGGGAGGTCCTGTGTAATAATAAGGAGCGAAAGGTTAATCATACTTCTGAAAAGAGAAGCTGTTGCAAAATACTGATGAGACCAAAGAGGAACCTGATGAGACAGAAGAGGTCTTGGTTCAATTTCAGGGAAATTGCCCTCCAAATATTATGGGCTTCTATCAGCCTCAGCCAGCATGGCCAATAGGAAGGGATGGTGAGAGTTTTAGTTCAAAACATCTGGAAGGCCCCAGGTCAAGGAAGACTGATTTAGTCTTTCATATGTTCTGTCATGGAGGAACTTCTCATTAGGTATAAAAAGTTCCCATTTTTAGAACATTAATATGTAACTGTGACTGAGTTTCTAATGTAGGAGGCATAAGCTGGAATTTAGTTTTATTTACATCCAGACATAAAAGTTTTCTCAGAACATAGAGAAGCGATTCCTTCATGGTGCTAAATATTGTAGGAACAGCAGTAGTTTTAGGCCTGTAAACCTGAACATCAGATCTGTTTCTTAAGATGTACTACTACCTGATTCTGGAAATAAAAGGTTAATCATGTGTACCAATTCCATCACTTTTCACTTGTGCATGGTTCATCATCATCACTTTGGATTTGTATACCATCTTTCTATCTTAGAATACCCAAGGCGGTTTACAAGCTGAAGAAACAAAGAATGTACACCTTATAACAATCTAATGCAATGCAAAAATGTGATAATAAAACATAACTTTAAAATAAGCAACCTACATCAAATAATGTAACATCTAGCAATCATTAGAATACTATAAAGGTAAAGGGACCCCTGACCATTAGGTCCAGTCGTGCCCGACTCTGGGGTTCCGGCGCTCATCTCGCTTTATTGGCTGAGGGAGCCGGCGTACAGCATGACCAAGCTGCTTCTGGCGAACCAGAGCAGTGCACGGAAACGCCGTTTACCTTCCCACTGGAGCGGTACCTATTTATCTACTTGCACTTTGACGTGCTTTCAAACTGCTAGGTTGGTAGGAGCAGGGACCGAGCAACGGGAGCTCACCCCGTCGCAGGGATTCGAACCGCCAACATTCTAATCGGCAAGTCCTAGACTTTGTGGTTTAACCCACAGCGCCACCCGTGCCCCATTAGAGTAGTATAAAATAATATTAAATATCAACATATAAAAATTAAACAGAAACCTACTCTTAACAATTACAATAAATAATTTCTAAACTACAATCAAAAAAACAATGGCAAGCCACAGTGCATAAAATAATACAATACAAATTGAGAAGCAGAGACTGGAGGGTGGGGCAAGGCAAGGTGGAAGAAGACCTTGCCTAATGAAGTCTCTCCCCTCACATGTCAAATTAGTTTGACATGCTTCTTGGTTAGATTGAAGCATATTAATATAAACACACATTGTAGTTAATAAAACCCTTGTATTTATACTTTTTGTGTGTATTGATAGAGAAGATTAGAGCTTGCAGGTATTGCTGTGGTTCAAATGTTGTGCTGCCTCCATCTCTGCTGAACTGATGTCTGTCAAACTTGGCTTGTTTTGTAGATTCACTGAGAATTAACAAAGGCAAGCTAAACCTGAAGACTGTGTGCTGAAATTTACTGCTTGCAAGGTTCTATATATTTTAGTTTGCGTTGTCTTGACAAAATTTACAATATCTAATTGTTAGGTAGAAACTCAGCAAAGGTGTTTTCATTAACCTTAACAACATTAACATTAACCGTTTGATAAATGTACAAACTTGTAAACAGTAATATTGAAAGAATGTGGTTCCAACAGGCTGCTATGCAATATGAAATATCAGATAAGTGTTGGTTTTGTTGCCCTCTCAGACTTGATTATCCTAATTAATTTGTGCATGAAGTACCAGTTCGCTATAGCTACCTTAAATTGATTTGCGTGTTCAGATCCCGAGACCTCGCTAATAAATAAAGACACATTCGACTCAATTTTTTGTTTTGGTTTTTGGCAGAATTTAGGCCACAACTTTATTGATTACAGATAAGTGAGTGGTTGCATAGGCTCTGTTTCAACTAGCTCCCTACCAGTGGCGTAGCGTGGGTTGTCAGCACCCGGGGCAAGGCAAGTAATTTGTGCCCCCTAACCCGTGGATTTGCGCCCCCTAACCCGTGGATTTGCCCTAACCCCAGATGTTGCGCCCGGTGCGGCCGGCCCCCCCTGCACCCCCCATGCTACGCCACTGCTCCCTACGCCCACAGTAGGTAGCGCTGACCCAGGGTGCATCATAGGACAGCCAAGGGTAAACACCTGGGGAAGGTCAAGAGCCTGAGAGCAGACTCTGTCCCCAGATGCTCCCCAGGACACAGGCATGGGCACAACCCCCTATCGGGGGTTGACCAAACCAATCTGAGTCCTTGGATTCCTTTAACGGAATACCCTTCACATAGGAATCGGCACAGCTCCGCATCCCTATCCACCTTGAACCAGTGCCTATCCACAACCTTACAAGTTGTGATGATTTGCTATGTGGCAGGCAAAACCCAAATGGCCACGGCCAATCAGTCAAGTGGGGAAATTCCTACCGTGCCCCTGTCCCAACGACAGATGACACACGACGGCATAGCAAGGTCAATTGCTGAAAAAACCCTAAATAAAGGGAGAGGTGGGTGGGTGTTCCGATGCACGAGCGAAAAGAGGAAACTCTACGACACGTGCATGGGTATAAATAGGTCCCTCAAACCGTCAGCCTTCTTTCCCATTGGCCAAATTGAACCCAGCAATGAGGGACCACCAATCAGGCATTGTGGCTATCCAAACGATCCACCCATAACCTTGGGTCAGTCACGTTGATCTCACCGCAACACGTGCCCTCTATGAAGAAGACCCGATTTAGACCAAACAGTCACTGATATTAATAAACATTGAGTACTGAATTCTGGTGTCTCCATTTGGCCTATTACATTTTCATTTCCCCTAGTAGTAATAATAATATAATAATAACTTATTATTTATACCCCACCCATCTGGCTGGGTTTCCCCAGCCACTTTGGGTGGCTTCCAACAGAATATTAAAATACAATAGTCTATTAAACATTAAAACCTTCCCTAAACAGGGCTGCCTTCAGATGTCTTCTAAAAGTCTGATAGTTGTTGTTCTCTTTGACATCTGGTGGGAGGGCGTTCCACAGGGCGGGTGCCACTACCGAGAAGGCCCTCTGCCTGGTTCCCTGTAACTTGGCTTCTCGCAACGAGGGAACCACCAGAAGGCCCTCAGCGCTATTAAAATTAAACAAACAAAAAAAAAGAAGGCCCTCAGCGCTGGGCCTCAGTGTCCGGGCAGAACGATGGGGGTGGAGACGCTCCTAGGCTCTTCTTCAAAACCATTGTGCACCCTTGTTACTGGAACCCAGTTGTTTGTATCAGTGGGAGATGCAGGTTACTTTAGGGAAGCAGAGGAGAACGCAGTGTGAGGTCATGGCCTAATAGTAAAATTAGATTTTTAAATATTAAAGTACTTGGTAGAGATGTAAAGGTCCAGAAAACCATTGGAAAAATTCAGGGGTCTCCCTGCCCCCCCCCCCGGCTTCCCAGTGACACCTCCCCTTCCAGTTTTTCCAAAGACTTTGGGGGATCTTGGAAAAACTTGCTCTGAAACGTTTTCTCTTTTGGAAGGAGCGAACTACTTTTTAATACAAGTTTCTATTCACTCAAAATGTGTAGCATGAAGATTTTTATGGAAGAGAATCTGCAGCATTTGAGCAATAATTTCTCTGTGTTGTGTAGACATATACATTCACATTAGCTCTTACAAAACGAACAGTGCAGTCCTATACATCCTTACTCTGAAGTAATTACCAGTGAGTTCAGTGGTTTCTGCCTAGTGGGTTGGTATAGGATTGCAACCTTATATATTTATATGTTTATAGATGTAAACCTGTGTGGAACTTAAGCAGAGTGGGTTCCGACTGAACCTGTATAGAATCCTTTGTAAACTTCAGGAATATGCCAAATAGTACGGTGTTATGTGCTAAATTACAAATGATGCATTTTATATCGTTTAAGCAGAAAAAACTATTTAATAAATAAATTCAATATATTCAATAAATAAATTGCATATATTCAATAAAGACGTGGCATATATTTCCGTTTCCCCCAGCTTTTCCTGGGAAGGTAGGGTCAGGAGGGATAGTTTTTTACATGGCTTCAAAATTTATGCTAATTTTTCATCTGTAGTTCTAGACCTTCCTCTTCCTCTTATTGCGGATGATGAAAAATGATCCAGTATATCTTTTCGATTACACACACACACACACACACACACCACACATAAACACACACACAATTACAAGCAAAGTCCTAATTCCAGTGTTTGGAATTAATGAGCATAAAATAACATGATTATTCATATTTGGTGTGTATCTTTAAACATTAGTTTCCGCTGAGCCTTTGTTTGAAGCAGGGTATCATTTTCTTATTTTATTTGGTTCTGTAAATGTCAGTGCAGTGAGAGCAGTTTTTCATTTTTGTTCTAATAAGCTGTTAGAGGCGTAACCACTGTGAAAAACAGAACGTTAAAAAGTCCTGTTTGCTTCTTTAGACCTCTTAAGCCACGAAGATGCAACCACGCTGAATGATGTGAAGACATTGGTTCAGCAGCTATATACCACACTGTGTATTGAGGAACACCAGCTGAATAAGGAGAAGGAGCTCGTTAGACGGCTAGAAGACCTCAAGCAGCAACTAGCGCCCCTGGAGAAGGTGAGAACCTCTCTTCATTGAGTGACATCCTAAGCTGCTTTGATGAGTGGCTCAGTCGATGGCATAGCACAAATTGCATTGTAAGCTAGCAATAAATGTAGCTGAAAAAGTAGAGCTTAATAGCTTTGTGTTGCTAGTTGGATTTGTAGCCTAAAGGGAAACCTACTTCATGCAATTCTTTCTGATCTTTGTCAGAGCACGGAAATATTAAATGGGTTCCAAGTGAGTTATTTTTCATCTGCGAAATGAGTTTTTGGCATTAATATTAAGCATTTCAGGGTAAATCCACAATGCAGTTCAGATTTAAACATAAAGATCCTTGCCAATGGAAACATGCTATGCATATTGCACATGTCACAGCAGTCACCTGGGTCCTGTCCCCCAGACTTTGTTTACATACAGCGATTCCTTTGGTGGTGCTATGAAGTTGAGATAACTCTAAACTGCAGCCCTTTGGCACTCCCCTGTAATAAATTACTCTGAAACTGTGTGGGGTCCGTTTTTCAAGCTCCACCATCACAAACCACCAAGAAAGTAAGTGGATCAGCTCAGTTGCTGTCACATTAGTTTGTCCATCATGCTTGCTCTTTAACATTTATAGCCTATGCCTTAACACCAAGGCTACCTTCAGAATGTAAAACACCAAGGCCCCATTAGGAGGTAGCTCCGCTTGCTATCCATTAGCTATAACCAGGGTTTGTTATTGGCTATACTCTAGGTTAGTGAGGAGAAAGCTGAACCACAAGTCCCAGCTTGGACAACACCTATGGCATACCTATGGGCAGTCCTTGTAAGCTATACCATCATACTTTGGTTCTCAAATTTAATCTGTCCCGGGAGTCCGTTCGACTCCCAAAAAGCTTTGAAAACCAAGGTGCAGCTTCAGATTGGCTGCAGGAACTTCCTGCAGCCAATTGGAAGCCGCATAAGCCACGTCGGACTTTCAGCTTCCAAAAAACATGCGCAAACCGGAACACTCACTTCTAGGTTTGTGATGTTAGGGAGCCAATTTGTTCGACAACTAAGGTGTTTGACTACCAAGGTATGACTGTAGTTTGGTTTACCATGTTGCATGAATCAGGTCAATGACAGCTTCTCTCCCACCTTGCACCCTTCTTTGCATGTGTATAATTTACATATATGATTACATGTTTTCTGGTTCCCCCCATTCTATATCTATATATCTAGACAGAGCTTATTTGATGGTCTTAAATAGTAAACAAAACGAAAAGGGATGCAGCAGGGGGTTGGTAGTCAACAGAAAGAAATGTTTCACAATAGGAATGGAAGCTCAGTTATTTTGAACTTGAAATGTCAGCCACTCAGTCGACTGTAAACATGTTCTCTCTCTCTCTCTCTCTCTCTCTCTCTCTCTCTCTCTCTCTCTCTCTCTCTCACACACACACACACACACACACACACACACACACTTTATTGATTTCAAAGTTAAACAGCATTCTGTTTAAGGATTGTTATAATATCAGCATTGAAAACACCAATCCTACTGTGTGTGCTTATTTCCATGTTTAACCTTCGTTGAGAAGCAACAGCTCAACATAGTTCTGAACGTTTTTGTCCTGCAGGTTAGGATGGAAATCCGCCGGAAAGCAGAGAAGAGGACCACCTGGGTGCTCTGGGGTGGGCTGGCTTACATGGCCACGCAGTTTGGAATTCTGGCCCGGCTCACTTGGTGGGAATACTCTTGGGACATTATGGAGCCGGTGACCTACTTCATCACATATGGCAGCGCCATGGCAATGTACGCATACTTCGTAGTAACGCGTCAGGTGAGGCTTGCTTTTGGTTTTATTCCGCTTTATAAGCAGGTGTCCAGAAAACCCCATTCTCATAAATATGACTTTTCCTCATCTGTGCTGTTCTTTTCTTGAAAACAAGGGTGCCTACCCTGTGTACTTCTGAATCTTTGGCTGGTTTATCCATATACCATCATAATGTGGTAAAAAATATGCAACATTAAGCGATGAGGTGTGTGTGAACATAACAGATACAGTGGAACCTCGGTTTTGGAGCATCTCGGAAGCTGAACATTTCAGAAGCCAAACACTGAAAACCTGGAAGTAATTGCTTCCGTTTTCGAACGGAAACCCGGAAGTAATTGCTTTCGTTTTCAAACGCACCTCTGAAGTCGAATGGCTTCTGAGGTGCGTTTCTCAGTTTTCACCATAGACTTTGCCAACAACCCTTTGCACCTCGGTTGTTGAACGTTTTGGAAGTCAAACGGTCTTCCAGAACGGATTACATTTGACAACCAGGGTTCCACTGTATAACATTCAATTTATAACAGATATAGCAACAGACATAACTCATTGAGCATTAGCTGAGATGAGCAAATTCCTCCATAAACCAAAGATATGTTTACTTCTGTTGCTCTGATGAGCCACTGCACAGTTGTCGTTTTCAGAGTAGCAAAGGTGTCAAAACTTGCATGCTACTACATCCCAGAAGAGGCAAAAAGTTCAAAAAACAAAACAAAACAAACCCCTTGCCATAGCTTAACTCCTTCACCTGAATCTAGCAATATGTAAAATGATAACTGGGTGATAGGCCAAAAAGACTTCACAGCTTATCACTCTTTAGCTGATAACCAGACTTGAGTTCATGGCTGTAGAAAAGCGTCAATATTCTGTTATGCATTTATTGCCCACTTCCTATATTTAGCCAATGCAAGTATTAATATTAATCAACAGTTTTATCCCCTTTCTTCCCAACCCTCATATATTAATGCCTTCCTTTTTTCTTTTTTATTCAATCTTTGATTGCACAGGAGTATGTATACCCAGATGCCAGAGACCGGCAGTACTTATTATTTTTCCATAAAGGAGCCAGAAAGACGCGTTTTGATCTAGAAAAATACAATCAACTCAAGGATGCTATTGCTCAGGTAATGAAAGTAATTTCAACTAATGGGGGTGGGGTGGGACGATACCCTCCCATCCCATCCCACTGTTGGATCTTGGTAACTGAGTGAGGCACTTTCCCACATTCTCTTATCGCCATGTATTATGAAGCGCTGCGTATTATGGCCGGTGTTAATAATTCTGGCATAGATACTAAAGGTGGAATCCAACATTGTGCTCTTCCAGTCTGCCCTCTCCATCCCCCCCCCACACCGTTCTGAGGGTTCTCCCAACCCTTCCCCAAGCCAAATTAAGAGGCTGCAGAGGGCGGGAAGGGGGGAAATCCCTGCTGTACAAATGGAAGTCTTTGCTCTCAAGGCTTCTGCTGAAAGTGCTGGTTAGGTGGATCCTGCCCTAAGTTTAAATGGCTGATTTGAACCTGCAACAGTGCAGGTGGGGAAATGGTGCAGGTGGGGCTACAAGTGCAGGTGGGGCTAAAAGAGTAAATGTCTGTTGGGTGCCACGTTAAATGATTGCACACATCAAATCTCTCTTCTTCCCGGTGGATGATTATCAGTAGTTGCTACCAAACCTTAAACCTTTTGCCTACTGTTGGAGGCAGTTTCATGTAGCTGGCATGCCTCAGCTGAGAATCCAACATGTGCATCAATGTCATGTGATAGCTGAGTGACTAATGGCCATGTGAGGTGCCCATGGAATATGACCTAATCTATCCATGGTTTATGGCTGTACAAATTACCTGCAGATGGTGAGTTTGTGGGACTCCCTTGGGTGGCTCACTGATGTTTATAGAAGAAGAGAACAAGAGTAGGGATGAGGAAATAGTCAGGGGCTGGCACTAGGATTGTATCTGATTTTTAGAGTTGCCAGCTGTCCATCATTTCCCCAGTCTAGTCAGTAAAACCACCTCTACCATGGTCTATAATTCCAATGAACTTTAGAATTGGCCCAATTGAGGGCTCTTCCTCTTAACACCAGGGCTGCACATCTGATACCTTGACCCTATTAGTGTCGGGCTTGCCAGCAATTTTTTAAACAGACTTGGCAAGACTTCTTACATTTAGGAATGCTGTTCGTTCTGCCCCTGTCATTAATCTTGGATTCTATAGAATGCAGTGTTGTTCGTTGTATACAGGAAATAAGCATTATCTGGTGGGAGGTGTGTGTGATCTCTAGGAGAGGGATAATCCATTTTTTCTGCCACTTTGGAAGTTACTGACTTCGCAGTTGCTGCAACTGAAATTGCTAAGTCTTTGGGGATAAGTGTTCAATCTACTTGGAGGGGGATTATTGTACTTAATTAGGGCTGGGTATTTTTTTATTTCAATTGGATATATGTAAATAATCATATAAATATTGTTCTTGAATAATAATAATAATAATAATAATAATAATAATAATTTTTTTAATAAACCCATCTGGCTAGGTTTCTGGGCGGTTCCCAACCAAATATTAAAAACACGATAAAGCATCAAACATTAAAAACTTCCCTAAACAGGGCTGCCTTCAGATTTCTTCTAAAAGTCAGAACGTTGTTTATTTCCTTGAAATCTGATGGGAGGGCGTTCTGCAGAGCGGGCACCACCACTGAGAAGGCCCTCTGCCTGGTTCCCTGCAACCTCACTTCTCACAGTGAGGGAACCACCAGAAGGCCCTTGGAACTGGACCTCAGTGTCCGCGCTGAATGATGTTGGTTCAGATGGTATCATCTACTTATTTTTCATAAAATTTCTATGAGTTATAGAATCAGCAATAAAGAGATCACATTACCTTACAGCAGGAGTCGTTAACCTGTAACCCCCTCAGATGTTACTGACGTACAGAAGCCCTCATTCCTGACAACTGGCTGCGACTGAGGGGACTTGTCATTCCGCAACATCTGGAGGGGTGTATTTCAGCACATTGTGGCGAAATGTGGTTCTTATGACTTTCTCTCCCCTTAATTTTCAGGCAGAATTGGATCTTAAGAGGCTTCGAGACCCCTTGCAGGTGCATTTGCCTGTCCGACAAATCAGCGATAAAGACTGACCAGCCCAGGTCCTCTGAACCCTGGCAGACTTGGCAAAACGGTTCATAGCTCTCGCCTCTTTAATTAAAGCATTGCTGGTGGAAGCTGGGAGGTCTTGCGGGGGTGGAGGGCTTTTTAATCATTCAAAGCAGAACAAGGACCATGGCTGGGGAGAGGGGTCAGTGTGTTCAACGAGAAGATCGGGCATTGTGGGATGTTAAGTCTTTTCAAAGGGCTTGACAAATACCGTCACATTTAAACGTTCTTTCTTCCTGGATGAAAATATATATAAAAAAGTCGGCATTTCATAAACAGAATGTATAGGGGGCATATTTTTTCGGCTTTGCAGTGTCTGCCTCTTGATGATGCACCAGCAGCCTGCTCAGCTTTTTAAAAGACTTCTCCTCTTTCAAAATACCAATAATAAATAATAACAGTGCATCAAAAAAAGTGAAGAAGAAGGGGGGAAAGCACCATCTTATGAAGCTATGGCTGCTGATCCAATTGGCCCTACATGCACTCTAGATTGGACCTAGTGTGTCTCTTTTGTAACCTTCATGTGAAACTGCTTTTTACTTTAAAAGAAAACGAAGCAGACTTTCTCCTTTATGGGACGATTACATCACTATAATCAGTTTTATCGATATCACAAGCGGAATAACCCTTGCCCTGAACGTTTGATAATTGACACTTTGAATGACTTCCTACATTCTTAAACTTGAACATATCCCACTGCCCTGGTTGTACTTCTAGATATAAATGGTGATATTGCATGAGAGAATTTTTCATATTCAGTCTTAAGGGAGGGAAGTCTCCCCCTACTCTTTCCACCCCAGAATCTGGTAGCGACCTGGATTAATCAAATCACAAAGGTTGGTTTAAATATATATCAAATTGGGTACTTGACTCAAAACCATGACTCTTTACAGAAAAGCATTAGGACAGGTATAATTAAATGTGATGTTTGCATAGCGGAGTGAATGATGTGTCTTTCATGAAGTCACCTGGTCTGGAGACTTTGTCAAAGGCCTGCAGCAGAAGACCACAGAGTTCCACATTGGTTCACAAGCCCTCTCTTTCTTTGGTAGCTTTAAAAAGAACGCCCCGGTGCCTAGGAGCCAGGGTTTCTGCGGAGTAGCAGATTGCAAACTCCTTTTTTATTATTGTTGTTATTATTTTAAAAGTTGAGGAAATGGCACTCCATCACCCTCCACTTCTTGCAAACCAACTGGGCGGTTCCGTCCCCCCCTCCCTTGAGCGGATCTTGCATCCTGCATGGAGTGGAATCAGCCTTTTCTTATCATCCTGTGATAAATACTGTGGAGACAGGATGGAAGCTGCAGAAGGGCTCTAAGCTTAATTCGCAGAAAGGCCGGGTGTTTCCTTTCAGTTCACTACTTCTCACTGTGTCAAGGCGAGAGGCTCCCACTTTCTGGAGAAACCATGTTTTAAAGTGTACAAAATAAATATAAACCAGACGCCAGGTGCCTTGCAGATGTGGAAATGCAGACGGGACCGTTGCTGCCTCCTCTCACTCGATGGCATGTTGGACTGAATCGATGCATGTTCCAAGGTGTTTTTTCTTTCTTTCTCTCTCCCCCCCCCACCTTTGTCTTTCTGTTCTCAATTACATTTTTGATTTTTGATTTTCGTTGTTGGTTTTTTTAAAAAAAGCAAAAACAAAAACAAACCTGTTTTATCCTTTTTGTATGCAGCATTTTAAAAAAGGAAGAAGGCGAGCAGTCCTGTAGAGGAACATTTTATGTGTGTTTGGGGCGAGGGAGGGGCATGGAGAAAAAGTCCTTAAAAAATAAAGTAAAATACTGAACATGTGTAAAATCCTGTATCATTTATTAAATATGTATAAAAGAGCAATGTACTTCTGGAACAATAAATAACTATTCAGTTTTTGAACTGTTGTGTTGAAACTGATTTCTTCCCAGTTGAAAGGAGTGAATCGGTGTTTGCTAACTTTTGCCTGGCAGCCTGATTGGGCCTCTTTCATTTATGGATAAGCCCAAACCAAGATGTCTCATGCTTTACAAAAATCACACAGGGACGGTAGTTCTGTCTGGGAAACAACATTCATCCAATAGATCACAGTATGTGGCGGTACATTCTCAGCGATTGTACCTCTTATGTACATGGAGTTGACGACCTGTATGCCAGTGATCATCACATAAGCACACAATTTCCCGTATGCAGTATAATCTCTGTTGTAACAGGCAGACTTTTCCTCAACTGATAGATATCATTCTTGCCTGGAATGGCAGTAAAGAAGAATGCCCTGCAATATAGCTTTGACCATAAACTTGAGATACAGAAGCTTAACTTAACCCATGGGTGAGGAATCTGTTGCTCTCCAGTTGTTGTTGGAATTAGAGTCATAGAATCGTAAGAGTTGGAAGGGACCTCAATGGTCTGATATAGTCAAACCTTTGCAATGCAGGAATCACAACCGTTAAGGGATGATGGAAGTTGTGGCTCAGCAACACCTGAAGTTCCCCACCCCCTAACAGTGGAAGCGGGGACTTGTTCTATCAACCTGCACCTTCCTTATGCCTGCTGATCTCAGAGGAGGCTTCTGTACAGCTCTACGGTCAAAGGCAGATGGTGTGGTAGGATGTAGGTGCTGACCTGATGTCCTGACAGATGAGTTGCTGCTACTTACCAGGAGAAGGAAGGAGGGTGGTGGCTGGTGCAGAAGGAGCACCAGATTGGCAGATGCATTTGCACCACACTGACCTCGATAGTGCCTTGCTCCTCCCAGGAAGCACCAGCCAACTCAACGGCTGAGAGGTCAAGAAAGTGTCTCCCACCGTACCAATCTGCAAATGGCTACAATAAGATTGGATGTCAGGAAAACCCTTGCCCGTCATGTTGCAGTGCCAAATTCAAAACAAGTGAAAAATATTCGTTTATTACCTACACTGTTGAGATTTCCACCGTGCTAGACATCTGGAGTTGTTTAGGAACCTGAGATGCTTTTAGGGGGATATAATAGACAAGGAAGCAATAAGATTAAACACTGTCTTCCACCATAACACATCTTTGCTTCAAATTACACACTCCCAACACCTCTCTGCGACAGAAAGGATGTGTGAGCTAAGATCTGCGAGTTCAGTTGTTTAACTTGATCTTCCCTGGAAGTGGCTTTTAGAGGAAGGAAAAAGCACTGGCCCACAAATGCACTGAAAAATAAATGAATAAGCTGCCAAAACCTGCTCAAAACCAGTACATGACCTGCCTCCACGTTACCAAGATACGCCTTTTGTTGTTGCCTCTTTTAAAATCTGTGAAGCAGGTGAAATGTTTTCAAAAGTTGCTTTGACATTTTTCATTGTTGTTGTGAAGAAAAGCCTTGCTCTCTTCCCCTCCATTTTGCCAGAGCGCCCAGGCACCTATTTCCAGCCCCAATTCCTAAATCTACAAACCCATGATTGGTTCTGTCAAGCAGGAAGTTGAAGAAAAATGCAGTGGGGTTTTACATTAGTGAAAACCATCTTCACCTACCCCAGGGGGTGTCTACAGTCTCCACAACTCTTAGCAAGTATCACACTACCTCAGGGGTCAGCAACCTTTTTCAGCCGTGGGCCGGTCCACTGTCCCTCAGACCATGTAGTGGGCAGGACTATTTTTTTTTTGGGGGGGGAATGAATGAATTCCTATGCCCCACAAATAACCCAGAGATGCATTTTAAATAAAAGCACACATTCTACTCATGTAAAAACACCAGGCAGGCTCCACAAATAACCCAGAGATGAATTTTAAATAAAAGGACACAGTCTACTCATGTAAAAACACTCTGATTCCCTGACCATCCGTGGGCCAGATTGAGAAGGCGATTGGGCTGCATCTGGCCCTCGGGCCTTAGGTTGCCTACCCCTGCACTACCTGGCCAAACGTGACCTGTGCTTTGATATTTAAAACCTCCAGCTGTCACTCAATCCATTGTTGGTGAGAAAGTCCTTAAAAACTCAGCTGCCTTTTGCCCTTTACATTCCATCGTAGGATCCATCTTCATTGACCATCAGAAAAGCCTGCAACTGGCCACCTTTGCTGTGTTACTCATGAGGAGACCAGACACAGGTTTGTAACTAACTAGGTCAGCATTGGTCAGCTCCTTTTATTTTCAATCTGTTTTGTCCATTTGTCCTCTTCCTTTTTTGTTCTCAATAAAACGTCATATAATTTGGCTGCTGGGGTCTGACGTTAATGCTGGTAATCACCCATGTACCTAGGTTGTTTGGTTCATGCTACAGGCCATGGGAGTTGATAAGAGAGGCACAGACTGCTCTGATTCCAGGGAGAGCTGGAGAGCCAGAAGCTGGTGCTACTCTCTGAGTAAACTGAGAGGGATCTGGCTGAGAAGTACAGAGTGTGCTGTCTCAGACCCACATTTTAGTACTTCCTTGGGTGCTCCAGAATTCTCTCCCATCCAGGGGCTTTCATATGGAAAGGTTGCAGGGCAGCAATAGCCGGATAGTTGAGGTGCAGCATGACTCCCCTACAAGGCAATTGTGCAACAGTTGTGCCAACGCAGGTACTCCTCTCCTTCCCCTTATGTTACAAATTGCACCATCAAGCAGAATAATGATAGGAAAAATGGCCACTGTTACATCTAAGGAGACCTCCATCTCCCAGTGTGCAACCTATCATGCCAGCTAGAGGTATAAGCAACAAACCAGCATTGCCCAGCTCACAGGAGGATTCCTTTAGCAGTACAGTAAGGCTCAAGTGCTTCATAATGCAATACAAGACCAGGATAGTGAGAGGTGTCGTCACTTGGTCCCAGGCATCCATCCTCCCCATTGAGATATGGGTTTAAAAGGCCAAGGAAATTTGTGGGTGTGCAACTAAGGTGTAGGCAAGCCCAGTTTATGAAATTGCACATTACCGATCATGGACCACTGCTAAGGACTTGGCTTCCAGTTTCCTAGCACTGTGGAGCATGAGCCAACATGTGAGAACCTTGACTCCAGTCTTAAACTGACATATTTATTATATGCATTTATGTATGTAGTAGCATTCTGTTACATGAGAACCATTTCCTGTTAAGTGTTCCAGCCGAAACACAGATTTCCACCTCAGTGAGAACTACGCCTTTGGTGAGATTACTTGCAGAGAGGTATGTACACAAATGTGTCAATGTGGCTGTTTTCCCATCTCCAGCAATCTTTCCCCCGACTTGGCTCCTTGCCTACAATTAAAATCAGCAAAATGTTTCATTTCATGGCTGTGATCTGAAGATACCTGATTCCAGGATTTTTTATTATTATGTGGCATTGATCTAATACATTTGTGAATGATTAATATTCAGGCAAACATTCCATTTCAGGGTGTTTAAAGCTCTGTTGGAATTATAGCTTCCTGTCCACCTTTCCTTCTTTGCTCTGTGGTTGTGACAAAAAGTAACCTTTCAATAAATACCAAGGAAGCCCTTCTCCTTTCCCAGGTACAGCCTTCTGCAAGAAATTATATATGCAGCCTGCTCTCTATTGGTGACTCCTATTGTGCTTGATAGGCAGTGCTATTTCTCTAGAAAAAGAGGTGCCAGAACTCATAATGAATGCCTCCCTTGTTCTCTTATAATGGCAATGGCGCCCACCTGAGATGTGCTGGAACTGAGTTCTGGTGAGTTCCAGCCGAAAAAAGCCTTGTTGATAGGCTGCGCTACTTTGACCTCCCTTTCTTCATCACTCCTTTTGCCTCTCATGCTATCTCTGTGTGGGCAGCCTACTGATGGGTACATCCCATAATATTAGTATTATTTAATAAATAATACCAATTACTTTATCTTGCCCAAGGCAGCTCAAAGCAACCAACCAACCAGCCAGCCAGCCAACCAACCAACCAACCAACCAACCAACAAACGACATAAAAACCAATTGATGGGGGGGTACATTTAAAACACGGGTGGCGCTGTGGGTTAAACCACAGAGCCTAGGACTTGCTGATCAGAAGGTCAGCAGTTCAAATCCCTGTGACGGGGTGAGCTCCCGTTGCTCAGTCCCAGCTCCTGCCAACCTAGCAGTTCGAAAGCACGTCAAAGTGCAAGCAGCTAAATAGGTACCGCTCCGGCGGGAAGGTAAACAGTGTTTCCGTGCGCTGCTCTGGTTCGCCAGAAGTGGCTTAGTAATGTTGGCCACATTGGCTCCCTCGGCGAGATGAGCGCTGCAACCCCAGAGTCGGCCACAACTGGACGTAATGCTCAGGGGTCCCTTTACCTTTACCTTTACCCACATCCAGAAGACCACAGAAAGTTCAAGGCTAAAATGTTAGAGGTAAAACTGTGATGTATCCAGACCCTCCAAGTGTCCCTATTTTTCAGGGATGTCCCTGATTTGGAGAAGCCATCCTGGTTTCTGATTTGATCCCAGAATGTCCCACTTTTCCTTAGGATGTGCCTATTTTCATTGGAGAAATGTTGGAGGGAGGTATCCTACCTCTGAGCCATCTGAAGGCAATCCTGTATGGGGAAGTTTTTTTATATGTTTTTTTTTAAATGTTAATGTTTTATTATTGTTCTTATATGTTGGAAGCTGCCAAGAATGGCTGGGGCAACCCAGTAAGATGTGTGGGGTATAAATAGTTAAATTTATCATTATGAAATGGGGCGTCCCTATATTCATCGGAGAAATGTTGGAGGGTATGAATATATCCACAACCTCCATAATAAAGTATAAGGATGGGGCATTGAGGTGAGATTGTTAAGAGAGTTGAGTTTATTTCCCAATTCCATAACTTATCTGCTAATGGTTTCCATTATTTTATCCATTTTTCTGCTTTGCTGCCTCAGCACTCTTTTGCTTTGGATTAATTTTTCTTTGTATCCATCTTTGGTTTTAGTAGTGTCTCAGTTAAAGGCAGGTGGTTTTATTCATGTATATTTTTAACTTTTGCCTGGATAGAATATGAGATCATAAATCCCCAGTGGAACTTGTTTACCAAAATAAGGTCTTCCTAGCTCCTTGACCCCCAGCAATCAATCTTAGAAGCATGTCCAAACTTATCTGGAATATGCAACCTTCAGTTGACTGCCGGCAAGGCCTTGCCACATGTGGCTGGTTCTTGGTGGCCTAAAATAGAGCCGCAGCAAAGTGCTGTTTCTCACATTTCCCTCTCCTGAACCAATGTGAAAGAATACAGAAGGTGAAAACTTCACATTGTTTATGCAAAACGGGATAGCGAAAACGAGGCTGGCAAAGTTCCTTCAATTGGCTGTATAGATGCAGCAAATCACGACAATTAAGATGGATGCCAGAAAATGGTTGTGCGTCTCTGGTAGAGAGGCACTGTGAAACTGCGGTTGTTTTTAATGTTCTGTTTTATGTATGTTTTAATGTGCTGTTGCACTATCTTGAACCAACAGGATATAAATGAATAAAGTGGATCCACTGATAGAAGAGCTCTTGACAGAAGTACATTTGTGCTTATTCTGAAGCAAGTAACTGAAAGGCCAATCCTTAAATCTGGCAGAGAAATCTCTAGAGGCTAGGAATCTTACCATCAGCGGGTGATGGAGGGCAACGTTTCTGCACAGTTTTTGTCTTCGAGATTGGGCAAACGAGAGGCTGCTGACCCCTCTTATTCTAAGGGTTTCTCAATTGATCAACTTCCCTGTAGTTACTACAGAGATACAACTAGTCAAAATGAATAATACCAGCCATCAAGCATGAGCTGGGGCAGGCAGTGAAGAGAAATAACATTTTATGTGTGTGCGTGCTTCAGATCAGAAATTCAGCTGAAAGTTGTCATTTTTTATTTTATTTGATCCTAAAACGAAGACTATATCAGCCTCCAACAACACATAACTTCCCTTGGCTGGCTGTACGGGTGCCCTTTCAATGGGAGTTTTATCTTTTGGGAGCTGAACGCTGAAGTTCTTACTGCACAATCATTAGAGACCAAGGACACTTTCTAATGGTTGTGCCGTAAGAACTTTGACCTTCCTTCTCACACCCCTTTTGCTAAATGGAGATGGCATTCGAATGAGAGCCACGAGTAACATTTTGATTTGCCCTTAGTGTACTCCATAAAATAGGCAGACTGACCTTCCCCCGGTGTGGCTGAACAAGTAAACCTTGCTGAAGATGCTTCATTTGCTGCTGCTACATATATAATATGTCCAGCCACAAATTCATTTTGAGGTAAAAAAATTATGAAACAATCTTTCAATTAAACAACAACAATGCACCCCTATTATGCTGTTTATGAACACCTGCTACCCCTGCCTCAGAAATTTATAACAGCAAATGAAGAAGAATACACAGCACTGAGTTAATAGCTGGAAGCGTAGAGGCTCAGAAAACAGAGCTGTGTCAACAAGGGCCCAAGAGTGTCTCTCCTTTCATCTGTGAAAGTGTGGGTGCCTCGCCCAGCTGTTCAGCCCTGAAGGGGGGCAAGGGACCTTAGTATGGCATCCCGCTAGCCTCCCTCAGTGGTAAGTTGGTCTCAGAGTATGGTCTGTTTTGCTCTATTTTGGCAGACGGGGGGCGGGGGGGGGGTTGAAGTCTCATTGTCTCTTGCTCTCCTATTTCCTCTGATTAAGACACTTTGCTTGTCCTTTCCTCATGACAGGAAACAGAAAAAAAGAAGAAGAAGGAGATAATAGCTAGGAGCCATCTTCCTTTCTTCCCACATCTCCACAGGATGCCTGGGTCTCCCTTCCTCAGTGGTCTTTCCAGATAAGATAGCAGGTGTGTCACTTTAGGGCACTTGGACAAGAAAACAATCAGAGGATGGGCTTGGAAACAAAATGAATGCATCTGCGTGTGGGGGAAATAACCCTCTTTGACTCTGAAAGGCAGAGCTACTATGGGGCAGGTCAAGGCTGCAGTTGGGCTCTGCATTCCTTACAGCCTCTTCCTCTGATAAAACCCCAGGACCCTTAACAGACTCTCTCTTCATGTGAGCTTGCTTCAGGACTCCAGAACCCACTTGGTGTGTCAAGGAGAGAGAGAGAGAGAGAGAGAGAATACAGGTGAACCCACGTTGCGTGCTTAAAAGGGATTATTTTGACAGAGCACGTGGCCTTGGTCCGAGGGGGATGTTCCTGTTTCTCATTTTGTCCTTGTACCTCCATGCTAAAGCACAGCCCTTGCAGGAGAACACAGTGGGTAAGTAGACGCAAAGCCATTTATTAGACACTTTGGCACTCAGCGTTCTTGCAGTGACTTTGCCCTCCTTTTAGGTCTTTTTCCAGCCAAACTGAGCTGTAGTGAACATAGTCCAGAGTTAGCATTGCATTTCAATTGCAAAAGGATTTTGCATTTCCTCTAACACTCTATGCCCTGAATTTCTTACCGGTGGGAGAATGTGAGCCTTCCCCCAAATATTATGTTTTCCCTGTAAATCTCACAGGCACCTAAACCTAAATCCTAGATTTATTTTTTTTAGAGGCTATACTGGTTGACTTTACATGCTTTTGATCAGAATGATTATATTCTAGTTTTGTTTTTATATTTGATGTACCCTGTCCGAAGGGTGGGTTAAAAATGATACAGTTACTGCCTTGGATTCTAAGTTGCTTCTCTGTTTCATGCAAGGGAGAACCAACGCCCCCTAAACCATATCCTACACCTTTCCCAGAGGACTACAAAAGTCCTAAGATGAAATGTATTCTGCTTGTGAGAAAGAAAATGAAATACGATTCTTTTCAAGAAATCGAAATATCCCCCCCCCCCAATCTAAACCGTCATGGCGTTGTCATAACAACTTTGAGGGCTTCTCCTTCCTCTCCTCCACCTGCATCCCTGTGCCACCCCCTCACAAATCTGATCTTGGGCATTTGGGGCTTAAGGATAGAGAAGAAGAACAGTTTCACTGAGCCAGCAAATTATTCAAGTTGGCCAACATCCTTGGATGTCTCGCAATTTCTCAGCATCTGTAAAAGAGATTATCATGCTCCCATTCACCACTAAGACAGAATCTGCTCCGTGGTGGACTTTGAATCACAGGTATGCATGGGACACCAAATTCTTAATTTGGGTTCTGAGGCATAACTTCAAATGTGATAGTAATGTTGAGAAATTCCAGTGGTAGGAGGTAAAATTCAAACAGATACCAACACCCCATTCTTGGATCCACCGAGAGCCTAACATTCAAACCATCACACAATGTTGGCTATATGATTGCTTTGTGTATTTTCCCAGCATGGAGCAAGAACATCTGTGGATGGTGTGTTTGTGTGTATGTTGACTTTGATTAAGAAAATGTCGTAAGCACAGACACAGAGAAATACATACACAGAGCTGCATTCCAAGGTGGATTTTTTTTTTTAAGCCAGGAGATCAATTGTGGATTCTCCTGCATAACGTGTCCATTAATTCTTATGAGTGTGAATTGCAGCCACTGCAATATCTATAATCACAGGCAAGTGAAGCAAGAATAAACAGTCAGCAATCACAGTTTGTCTGTGTCCAAGTTGTTTTCTCATTAGGTTAAAATGCATATTCTTATTTTCAAATGGTGCTACAGACATTGCAGAATTCCTAAAATTTGGGTTAAATAATGCAACAGTAGCAGGAGAAGCCCAGTGGGAAATAAAGTATCAAAAGGTAGAAAAACTCGATTTGTTCAGTTTTGCTGTGTGCCTAAGCCAGAACAATTGCCTTCTTTAAGAGTGACGATAGTGAAAAGTAATGGATTTGCCTTAGTCAGAAAAATATTAGCATAAATCCTGCTTTAATGGTGGACCTGACCAGTCATGGTTAACTGGTGCTTAATCAGGTGTTAAATATATGCAAAGATTTAAGCTGCAAACTTTCACTGCAGAAGCTGCTGGGGGAAGATTAAATACAGGACTGATGAAAAGTGAAATGAATATTTTTATTACATTCTTCTCTTGGCGGCTTCCACTTTAAATCTCTATGAAATCCTGCTTCTTAGGAACAGGTTGACTCAGATGCCCTTTGTACATACACAAAGCTCCCACTGCAGGCAACAGCACTTGTGCATGATCAGTAAATAGATGGTGCTTAAATGAGATATCTCACCATCATCCAGTTAGGAGAACTTTATTGCAACAGGAGACACAAGCAGAGATGGAGGGCATGGAAAGAACCCGCCCTTGAAGGTAGTTCATCAGCTTTACCTGGTGCAGAACTGTGGTGCATTTATGAAGAAGGGTCACAAGGAAAGTAGCACCACTTTTGTCATATCTATTCTGTGCTGACTGTTTGTGGTTAGCTCTCAGGTTTGTACTGTGTATCACCTTTAAAACATCTGGGCCCTGCATCCCTAAGAAACTAGCCTCCCGTGAGGTCCTTTCCAGACCTGCAGATCAGAGGGAGAAGGAGGTTGCTTGGAACATGCAGGAGGTCCTTTTCTGTGGTGGCATCCACACCCTCTAGGCTTCGATGCCTACTGAGATCCACCAAGTCACCACATTATATTCTTTCCACCGCTAGCTGAAAGCATTCCTATATGCAAGACCTTTCCTTGGCTATAAAAGGATTGGTGCTGTTGTATTCTGTTTTAGTTATTGCAGTTTTCATTTTTGGTTTTATATATATTTTATCATGTTTTGAATATCATTTTTTGCTCTCTCTCTCTCTCTCTCTCTCTGTGTGTGTGTGTGTGTGTGTCAAACTCTAAGCAAATTATTAACATAATAAGGACCAGGGCTGGTCTTTAAGATCTATGAAGACCTTTAAATACTAGGGAACAGAAAGTATGTAGAAAATTGGTTTGCAAGGTGAGGGAGAACTGCAAGTCATTGGGCCCGATGGCAGCGCGAGTCAAGTGTTCTGCTCTGAACTGGGGAGATCAAAGCCACTCTCATGAACCATTGTCAAGGAGAGCACCATTCTGCCTAGCAGAAAGCACAGACACAAAGAAACAGCAGCTTAGAGACCTGTTTTAATCTCTTCTTACTGGCAGGAGGCAAGCCAGAGAATGAAGAGGAAGGGCCCAATGTAGGAGAGGGCAAGGAGAGGTGACAGAGAAGACAGCCCCCAGGATGAGGCAGAGACATTGCAAGACAATTTCTAAGTGCAAGTTAACAGCACTGTGGGCCAGCACTATAAATCCCCCTTTGTAAAATATGATAAGTTTTAAAATTAAAATATAGTGGTGGGTGGGGTAGGGGATAATATTGCTTTGCTGGAAAATAGTCCCAGGTCACAAGAGTAGCCTTTGGTACCCAAAGGTATTATTTGATTAAAACGTTTAGGATGAAATACTGTGGTTCCTGGAAAGCCATCTCAGGTGCCATTGGAAAAGCAGGCCCACTGCTGGGATTCCTCCCTAGGAACTTTCCACCGTCATGGGTGCTTCACAGGGGGTGGGGTTTCAGCAGGGGTGTGTGCTGGCAATAGCCGCAAATCTGCAGGGTCCTAGGTTCCTTCATTGTTTCTCAACATCCACTCCCCTAGCAGAGCCAGAAAACTACATCAACCCAAGAGCAGACCATTGTAGGGAATTAAAAAAGGTGTTTGGTGGGGTGTCCCACTCCTTAAATGGGAAATAAATCTAATGGCTAGATCCAGTACGTGAGATCATTTTATGCAGCCCTCAGAGCCCCTACTAAATTTTAACTAAGTTCAATAAAATAATAAAATAATAATGGTTTGCTAAGGAAGGGGAGGGGGGAATGTGTGGCATTAAAGTATCTTGAAATGATTTAACAACAACAAAACCCTACAAAAACAATTACAGCAAATATATATATATATAAGCCAATTGCAACATAGACACAGACTGGAACAAAAGGCTTGTTTAAAAAGAGAGACCTTCAGCAGGCACCAAAAGGACAAGAGATGTTTAACAGGAGGCACGTTTGAAGGGGAGGTGCTCTCATGATAAAGGCCGGATTCCTACATTGTACAGAATGGACCTCCTGATGAGATGTTATCTGCAGGGGGTTCTCTCTCCTGCAGAGCACAGCGATTGGCTGGGTATATAAAGGGAGAGAGGATTGCATCTCTTTTAATGGAATTGTTTGTAATGTGTAACTTAATGGGTGTTAACTTGTAAATGGGAGGCTGCGCTGGAGTGCGCATGCTCTGCATGGGAGAAGAGTTTCCTGCTTTGTGGGTATCAGCTTTACAATGAGGTTGAGGACAGTTTGTGACTCTGAATCAAAGGTCAGTCCTGGGTCTGAGTTGTTGTGTGGAGGATATAATGTGCTCCAAAATACAGAATTTGGCCCTCTCTGCCTTAGGCGACTGATTATTTGTCTTTTGCTAATCTTCGTTTCACCAGGCTTTCCCCACATATTCTTGGTCTGTATACTATTGTTCTTTTGCTCTTTCCATGTTGCAGCTCTTGATCCTTGCTCTGCCTACATCAGTCTGAATGAACCTTGGAGGAACACCGAACACCACTTCAACGGCTCTCACGACCAGCCCGAGTGTGACAGCCATGTGGACGGGGAATGGTACCGCTTCACTGGGATGGCTGGCGATGCCATGCCCACCTTCTGCATCCCGGAAAACCACTGTGGTACCCATGCTCCAATATGGCTAAATGGTAGCCACCCTCAGGAGTCAGACGGCATTGTCCAGAGGCAGGCCTGTGCAACCTTCAATGGAAACTGCTGCATGTGGAACACAACGGTGGAGGTCAAGGCCTGCCCAGGAGGCTATTATGTCTACCAGTTAACCAAGCCCAGTGTCTGCTTCCATGCCTACTGTGGCCGTAAGTGACCCCCAAAGCTTCTTTACTTGTAAAGAGGGGTTCCCCTTGGGCATATAATATAATGCCTACAACTTAAATAAAGTTCTACGGTACCTGTGTTGTCATGTATGAAAAATCCCTTCGTTCAATTGTTGATTTCACCGTGGGGACTTCTCATATAAAGCTGTGTTCATTCATATATATAAAAAATATAGAACAAAGCTCTCCCTCCTTCCTCAAGCAATTTAAAGCTGGATTTCCAGTTCATCTCTGCATCCCCAGGCAATCTAGTTAATAGCTTCCTGTTGCGTTATTCATTGGTATTTATAGTTTATCACTGAGAAATCTATTTTAGTAATTTATTTCTTCTGGAAAACAATTCCCCCTTGTGCATTGCAATCAACTGAGGAGGCCTCCTTTTTTATGGTGGGGCTAGAAAGGCCTTTCTGAAATGGCATCCTCTTGCTGGAACTCTTTCCTAGAGAAGGGCAGCTGGCTTCATCCCCTTGTGAACTTCTGGAGGTGTGGTCAAGACCTTCATTTTAAGGAAAGCTTTTGCATTGCTGGATTACTTCGTGAGATAGTTTGCTTGTTTTTAGCTGTCTTGTGTGTTTTATACAGCTCTGTTGTTTTGGCTCTTTTTGTAAGTGTGTAAGTTGCTGCACATTTGAGACACAAATCTGCTTTGTGTCTTGGGAAGATGTCTGTTCCTATTAAATCTGATCATGGATCTCCAACATGCTATCAGTTTGCCCTTAAACTGGAGAAGACTTGGGTTCAAATTGATGCCCAGCCATGAATCTCACTAAGTTATTTTCCTAGCTCTCAGTGAAATCTACCTCACCGGGTTTGTGTGTTTACAATTTGGATGGTAAGGGATCACATATCCTGTCCTGAATTCCTTAGGATGTTGCTGGACTACAATTCCCATCATCCCTGGTCATTGACTATGCTGGCTGGAACTGGTTAGAGTTAAGAGTCTCATAACACTCAGAGGGCAATAGATTTCTCATCCCTGTTTCGAGAGCACCTAAAGTAACTTTTTTAATACTGGCCTATTTTCTAATCTGTATCACTGCTCTCAATTGACAGATGTTATTACTGAACACATTTCTTGTACAACTGACTGAATTAAACTGACACTTTAAAAGAAAGGAGTTAATTTTCTTAAAAGCTGAATAAAACACTCCTTTCCTCCCAGATAATAAAAAATCATTTTTATTGCATTGACGACAAATTCAGCCTTCTGTTCTGGCTCTTACCTTGAAAGTGAAATACACATGGACTGGCTTTGATACAGTGATCATGTCAGTTTGATTTATTCAATGCACAAGGCCATACAACGTGCCCTCAGCCATCACCTCCAATCATAAAATCTGGGAGTTGTTAAATAATCCAGAGGCACTGACAACTGGATTTCTATTGCAAATAAATGTTGGAGCTATTTGGGATTCCTGCAAATCAGGAATGCGAAAGATGCAAACTGTATGTCACCTTTAAAAAATGCCTCACCTTGGAACATGTTTTCCTGAAGACAAATGTATTGATTTTCTCCTTTCATGCTCAAAACCTTTTCAAACTGACGTTGCACAGATTAAGGGTTTTGCCAGTACGAGAATCAAATCAATACAGACTCCATGGCTCAGGGAGGGTCAGTATTTGGGCACCAGTGTTTTAATAGCCATACCAGTCAGAGAATTTCAGCTGGATGAGCTTTTCAAATCCAACTACTTCAACTGATATTGAGGAATCATCCCTGCTGAAAACAAAACAACACAACCCAGAATAATCAGAATATATCATCAGAAATATTCTTTTCAACGTGTTACAAAATTGTTTCCACCACAATTTAAGTAGGATATTGACAAGCTGGAACGTGAGCAAAGGAGGGTGACCAAGTTGATAAAGGAGCTGTAAACGAAGCCTTATGAGGAAAGGTTGAGGGAGTTGGGTATGCTTAGCCTGGATAAGAATAGACACAGAGGAGGTAAGGTAGCCATCTTCAAATATCTACTGCTGTAGTGCCCGATTCAGACATACAAGCATAGCACTGTTGCATCTAGTTCAGCCCTTCACTTGCACCCTATTAATGTAACTGTGAACATGGAAGGTAATTGCGTGTTCAGACCCAGAGACCTCCCTTCTAAATAAATTCACAGATGACTCAAATTTTAGTTTTGGTTTTTGGCAGAATTTAGGCCACAACTTTATTGATTACAGAAGGTGAGTGGTTGCATAGGCTTTGGTTCAACTAGTTCCCTGCACCCTTGCAGGCAGTGCTGACCCAGGGCACCAGCATAGGTCAGCTAAGGGTGAACACCTGGGAAGGTGAAAAGCCGGGTACAGACTCTGTTCACCACCCCGATGCCCCCCTGGACTCAGGTACGGGCACAACCCCCTCTCAGGGGTTGACCAAACCAGTTGAGTTCCTGGATTCCTTTAACAGAATACCCTTCACATAGGGATGGCGAGACTGCTCCCCCATCCCTATCACCTGAACCAGTGCCTATCCGCAACCCTACAAATTGTGACGATTTGCTACGCAGCAGGCAAAACCCAAATGGCAACAGCCAATCAGCCAAGTGGGGAAATTCTTGCCGTGCTCCTGTCCCAACAACAGACAACACACGATGGCATAGCAAGGTCAAAGCACACAGCCCTAAAAATAGGGAGAGGTGGGTGGGTGTTCTGAATGCATGAGCCGTGCATGGGTCACGTGCATGGGTATAAATAGGTCCCTCGATCCATTTGGACTGCGCCCCATTGGTCAGATTGAACCCAACATCGAGTGACCTACCAATCGGGTGTTGTGGCTAACCAATCAAACCCACCCACAACACAGGGGGTCAGTCTTCAGGTCTCACCGCAACACCTGCCCTCTTTTAGGGAGGGCACGATTTACTCCTGTATCTTTAACAATCCTCTTTTGTAATTCTGCAGATTTCTACGACATCTGTGACATGATAGATTGCCGGGGCTCTTGTTTGGACACTGGAGACTGCACATGTTCTTTAGGAACAATATTGGGACCTGACGGACAGACCTGCCTTGGTAAGGAAAGACGCAGAAGAGGAGACAAAAGAAGCAAAAGGGAAGTATCAAGGCTGTGGAGAGAGAGAGAGAGAGAGAGAGAGAGAGAGAGAGAGAGAGAGAGAGAAGAAATGAGCAAGTAGCTGAAGGATTCCCCCTCTGCTGTTTTATAATTCTGTTCATTGTTTTTTCATGATCAGCTTGGACTTTTCACAAGTCATGCTTGCCATTTGCTAGTGGAAATACAAGCCAACGGGAATAATCAGTGTATGAGAATGGACTGGAAAACAACCACTACAGAAATAAAGAGGAAAAAGTTAGGAAACAAACAAGAACATAGGAGTAAAAATATATATATATATATTAAAAATGCACTGCGTCATGAATCTTAGCTACCCATACTGTAAATCCTTTGTAAATAGACCTGTGCAAAATACAGAATAGGAACAGTTCAATAGTCAAAGGTTGGAATAAACCAATTTCTCTTAAGGTCTAGGTGCTTTCCCAGTAATCTGCCTTTCTTCTCTCTGGCGCAGCATGGGCACAGGCATTCAGGAGAACTGCTCTAACCATAGAGCCAGTGTACCATGTGGACAGTCCAAATGTGTAAAGTCCTATGCACATAGGGCACAAACAGATTGGCTGTCTCCATATGGGGAGTGGAGAGTGTGGCTGTGCTCCAGCGCTGGATCAGACTTTTCAAATACGGTCCATACTGGTCCAGAGCAAATACCAAAACTGAATTGCAGCAACCCCAACCCAATGAATGTGCAATCACTAAACTGGGTGTTGAGCCAGCACAAACTGTTTGCACTTAAGTTTGTTGTTGCACCCTTGGAAAACCCGAAGAGATCTCAACTTGCAGAGGGGAAAAGTGGACGAAGGCAATATTTTAGGAGGGCTGCGCATTGTTTCCATGCTGCCATGATTACATCCATGGCTTAATTATCCTGGCATCTTGGAGACTGTGCGGAAGCATCTAAAACCTCAGTGTCAGACAGTAAATGCTTAGAGCCAGTCAAAGGGCAGCAGCTTTGCTTGCAAAGACCAAATAACATCTCAAGGTTAGTGTAAAGCTAGTCTCATACATATTCACAATCCCAGCACACACCCGCCTCTCATTCGAGACTTTTCCTCTCCTGATCTGTTCAAGTCCTCTCTCACTCAGGGTCAGGTTGTCTCTTATGTGCCTGCAGCCACCAGGGCCGGCCCATTCATGAGGCAAGGTGAAGCAGTGGAAGCCAAAGAGGCAGTGCTCCCAAGAGTGCCCAGCTGGCCCTGCCTCCTTTGCAAGAAGCAGCAGTGCCTGTTTCATAATAATAATACCTAATTTGCACTTCATGAACCAGTCTGTGAATTGAAACGCAGCTGCAATTTGAAATTGGCAACTTCTCCTTGTTTTGTGAGGCAGTTCTCCAGCAAATAAGCATGGATTAAAATGCATATATTAGGGAAACTCTATTAATGCAATCCTCTCATTCTTCTGCCTGAGATCTCTGAGGCTTACTCGCCTTCCTAATTAGTTTCCTGAGTTCTGCATAATAACAACTTCAGGTATATTTCAAAAACCATTGCCTTCCTCCTTCCCACATTCTCAAGTTTTCCTTCTGCGTTCCCTGTTTCCGAATTGAGGATCCTGGGGAATCTAGCCGGATTGGGGTCTGGCAATCCCACCACAGCACTGAGCACCATCATCTGAGAGGTCTTTCATCAATCAAGTTAACTGGTTTAGCTTTTCATTCAACATGCGGTTCCCTGGCTATATGCTATGAATCTTAATTCTCAGCAGCTCTTTCTGAAATTCCCTTTTTCAAGTTTCTTAAGTTACTGCAGCAATCTTCAAGCCATTTATGGCTTGTAAAGTTTGGATCAATGCCACACTGCCTACTAGCGTGAGCTCTGGTAAATAGCAGCTCTTCTTTTAAAAAGCTTTTGAAGATCTGGGGTTGCTTTCAGATGAGCATTCGTCATTCTGATGTTTACTGAGTGTTCAACCTGATCTGTATATGCAAAGTTTGTGGGGAGGTTAGATGGTGCCAGCTATTTATTGAGCATTCACTCTAATTAGTTTCCATGGCGGGGGGACACAGGTGGTGCTGTGGGTTAAACCACAGAGCCTAGGATTTGCCGATCAGAAGGTCGGCAGTTTGAATCCCCGCGACGGGGTGAGCTCCCGTTGCTCGGTCCCTGCTCCTGCCAACCTAGCAGTTCGAAAGCACGTCAAAGTGCAAGTAGATAAATAGGTACCACTCTGGCGGGAAGGAAAACGGCGTTTCCGTGTGCTGCTCTGGTTCGCCAGAAGCGGCTTAGTCATGCTGGCCACATGACCCAGAAGCTGTACCGGAAGCTCCCTTGGCCAATAAAGCGAGATGAGCGCCACAACCCCAGAGTCGGCCATGACTGGACCTAATGGTCAGGGACCCCTTTACCTTTACCTATTCTACATTTTTCTGCATCACATTCCTTCTCTCAAAAAATCCTTTTAAGGGAAAGCCCATTTGTCATACAAGAACACCAAATGAACTTTAATTGAGCAACCTGAATTTTGTGAATATGTAATGGAATTCCACCCAAGGATAGACACAAGTATAGAGGTTCTCTGGGTTTCATCATTGATTAACAGCGCAATCCTACTCAGAATTAATTCCTACTGATTTCAATGGGATTTGCTGCCTAGTAAGCACTACTAATTAATAGAATGCTAATAATAGGGTACTAATGAATCTCTTGTCCTAATAACATCTCCGCCACTCACCCTATGAAATCTGGCCTAATTCCGAGTCTTTATGCACATTGCTGACAAATGGGATGGCAAAAATCCCCATTGAATTAAAATGCCCTGGAAAGGTTTCATTGAGTTATCTAACTAGAAAAAGATCACTTTCAAGAATATGATGAGTAGCTCCCTCTTCTCAGCCCTCTGGAATTTCATGGAAGTTGAAAAACTATAGCATATTCTCATCTAGGAATCAGTGGTCTGGTTTGTCTTGATTTCCCCTTCATCTTTTCTAACATTAGTTTAATTGGGTACAGGGATTTCCAGCATTTGTTAAGCAGATTTTCCTCTATATTACTCTACAGAAAATGTAATATAGGGGTTGATCTACATACAGGAAAAAACCACTATAAATAAGTCAGAAATTAAATCATTATAACAAAAGGTTATATCACTTAGAATTCCCTCCCTCCACCGCCGTCTGGTGTTGTGTGTTTATAATGCATTCAAAACACAGTTTTTTGACTAATGTAGCTGAGTCCAGATTCGATGAGATTCAAGCTGCACCCAAAGTACTCAGTATACTCCATGTGTGCTGTGTCATGTAGAAGATTCACCCAAAAACAAACGATGGCACAGCACAGACATCTGGTTCATATAACTCTTCCGTTTATTTTTGTGTGCCCATGCCCATGTGTGTAATGCAAGTGAGAACACGGCTGTTTCTTTAGACTCAGAATCCTGGCTGTCTTTTCATAATATGTAAGATGATCCTTACTACTAGCCTGTGCCACCTAAAGAAAAAAAAAACCTTTCCCTGATTCAGATTTCATTAATGGAGCAATTGGCTTGCATATTATACTTCTTAATCACCAGCTTCATATTGTTAAGTTGTGGATTTGTGGCTCCTGTTTTTCTCCACAGATGAAAATGAATGTGAACAGAATAACGGAGGTTGTAGCGAGTTCTGTGTGAACCTCAAGAACTCCTACCGTTGTGAATGTGGAGTTGGGCGAATTCTAGGGAAGGATGGAAAGACCTGCCAGGGTGAGTAAGGATCCCTTGCTCCAGGTCTTGCAGGCCTTTTTACACCTGGGACTGACTCCAGCTACAAAAGCTGAGGCTGGTGAACAGACTCTTTGGCTGGGGTATTGTTTTGGGGTTTTCACTGGGGTGGGTGTTGCTCTTACTGATGCTATTTATTTGTATATTTTTGTGTCTATAATCATGGTTTATGTGGAAATTGTTCAACTTGCTTGTGTACTTTTTGACGTTTTATTAATTACTTATGACTACTTTTGTTATGTTTGTGTAATTCTTTTCATTTTGTAAGCAGCCTCGAGCATGGTTTTGGCTATGGAAAGCTGGCATACAAATAAAATGATGTATGTGTGGCTCCAACAAAACATCTGAAAGGTCACATGTTTCCCATCCCTGTCTTACAGCATGAGTTGTCTTCCTTAAAAATAATAACAACTAGCTGAATGGGACAACGACAGAAATGTGAACTACACAATAGGAACTAGAGTACCGTAGCAGAGCTCTGTATTGTTAAACACTTCCTCCGTAGCCTCCCAGCTGGAAATCAATGTCATATGATGTTAAGTGCAACTTTACATTTGCTGTGCAGATTTTAAATAAATGCAACCAGCATCAGTTCTTTGGGACCGCAGCAGGCAGGAAAGTGGGATTTAATCTTCCCTCTCCCTAATTAAACTTCCAAGAAAAATATCTCTTCTGAAAGTGCTGTTTACCTTGGGTAAATTATTGGTGCTATGCCAGTACTTATTGGCCCTTTCCACCAATGCTGTTTCCACTATTTTAAAAACTGGCACTTTTTTTTTCATGGGCAGATTTATATTTGGGTCTAGCTTGGCCCTGGGTTGTTGTCTGAGAATGAATGGTGGAGGGACCACAGGTGTAACCAAGGAAGACATCCTCTTCACATCAGTAATATACTTGTATCTTCATAATCTAACATTCTGGCCTTTGGGGGGAAAGCACTGGTAGCATCCATTTTAATCATTATTTTTTTGTTTTGTTTTTACTAAGAAGAGTAATTGTTTCCTTTTCGGTAAACGTTGGGAAATTTGTGCTTGCTATATAGATAGTTTTAAGACTCTGAGGTAATAGGTGACATTTTTCATGCGTTCAATGCTCTCCAAGGAATTTATTGAGCAATATACAATCGAGTTGGTCGGTTTCATATTTACTGATATGCCATGTGGTTTATGAGCCATTCCAGGAAAGATATAATTCACTTTGCAACCACCCCAATATCCATTGCACAGCCACAAAATCTTCAAAGGATACCATTGGTTTTAATGGTCATAATCTCAGAGTGGTGGGGTTTCCTAGCCTAACACATGGGCACTGATTTAAAGCTCATTTGAACTGCCAAGACCTTGTCAGTCTAAGAAATGCCTTGGATGTTTTGAAAACTACCTGGAAATTTTTCATTCTTTCAGTATGTACAGAGACTGCCCCAAGGCCCACTCTCCACTCCCATCCTGGTGCCCTCCAAATGTTTTGGACTACAACTCCCATCAGCCCCAGCCTGCAGGATGGGAGTTGTAGCCCAAACTAACTGGAGGACACTAACTTGGAAAAGGCTGCCTTAAAATGGTAGCTGGTCCATATTTGCTACCAACTGTAAACTTGGCAGGATCTCCTTTTTGCGTGCATTTAACGGTTAACTGTACACTTAGAAACACAAGTTGTGAAGCCTAAGTTTTACACGTTTTAAAATATTAAAAACTTTTTTTTAAGAAAACACACAAAACTGAGAAATTGTGGGATTCTGCAGATTAGGACAGTACATTGATTCACAGTGTGTGTGCTGTTTGCTGCCTCTTCCTCCAATTGCTGTAACATCCAACAGAGAAAGTCTTATGTACAAGTGCCGTTTAAATTAATGAGAGCTGCACAAAAAGCACGACCTACTTTCTACTCATGTTCTTCCACCATTCATAGTCACAGTTTCCCATTCATGTTCTATTCACAATTCCCATCCATGTTCTTCCACAGTTCCCATTCATATCAATGCGGCTTAGAAAAGATTTTGCCCAGAATGATTGCAAAAGTTAATGTATAACGTATGAAGGTTTATACCACAGATACAATTGCTATGAAATCCCCTTGTTATGGGCAGGTAGAGACTTTCACCACAAGCAGATCTGGGTTGAGCAAAGATTTTTGTGTGTCTGACCATTTTCTCTATCCTAGAAATTGAAGGTTGCCACAACAACAATGGGGGCTGCAGCCATGTTTGCGTCACGGTAGAAGACACCTACCAGTGTGAGTGCCCACGCGGTCTTGTTTTGTCAGATGACAACCACACTTGTCAAGGTAGGACAATGGAGATCGCTAGCGACAAATAGTACATTGTGGCTGGTGCAGGAGAACGTTGCTGGGGAGCAAGTGCACCACCTGTTTCCTTTGCCCCCACCCTATTAGAAATGAAGTATATTTTGAAGGAGATCCTCCTAAATGCTGAGGTCAGATCAACAGATCAAACCATTCCATCTAGCCCTGTACATTGAGGAAGATCTCAGTTATGTTCCCTGACCTAGTTTTGGTTCCTCAACACTTGTCTTGGCTGTGTGCTCACCATGGATCCCTCGTCCCTTGTTCAGTGGTTCTTCTGCTACAGTTCACTCCTGATTGACCTCCCATTTTGATGGGCAAACACAGTATCCGACACCAGCCTGTCACAGCAAAATGCTGACCCACCTGTGAAATTATGCTGCCCCGCATTTTGATGGGTTCATCCTGCAGTAGTTTCTTCTGCAAGGACAATACGTGGGACAAATGTCTCATATGCCCAATAGTGGGCTCCTCAGCTTGAGTATCTAGTGCAATGGCAAGACTCTCACATGCTGTCCTCTGGAACAAATGTGTTTAAGGAGCAGCCACTGCACTTTATTAAGCAAAACACATTTATGACCACACATACAATAGTTTATGGGAACATAAAATGTAGACCCTGCCTCCAACTTCATAAATACAGCTTTTTATTAATTCTAATTAGGTGCATGGTGATATAGTTGGTAACAAGGCCAGCAGTTATCCAAAGCAGTTTGCAAATTAATGTTTCACTTTACACTCTTCCTGTAAATTAGTAGTCAACATTACAACTGCTGAAGAGAGAGTTATTATATTCCTTGATCAGCTAGGAATTGTTTACGTTTGAGAAAGCACCGAAAGAAATGTACGTTTCTGGGGCAGCAGATATGGAGAGGGGAGGGGGCACAAAGACAGTGCTGGTGAATGTTGGCAAGAGTGCGCCTTCAGGGGTAAAGTCAAATCGTTGGGAGAGTTACAGTGCCTGCTATGGCTATGGAGAACAGTATGGGAGAGACATGTTTTACTGGAGGTGGGGCAGATGAAGGCATCTGGTTTTGCTGCTGCAGGTGCAACACAGTCTTTCTTCTCTCATACTTTGGATGGCCATCTGTCATGGATGCTTTAGTTGAGATGACCCTTAGGGTCCCTTCCAATTGTAGGATTCTGTCATTCTATGATTTGCCTCAGAAACATAAGTTGGCCTTCATCTGTAAGGCTGGATGAGGGAAAAAAAGAGGTCTGGATAGTACACTTTCTTATGTTGTCTCCCCCCCCCCCCTTTAAAAATTGCTTCCAAGAAGAAATACATACTTTCTGCCCTTGCCTTACTTGATTAATGAGAGACAGGCCCTCAAACTGGGATCCAAACAGCAGAAAAGCACCAAGCATGCTCATTTATCAAAGAGTTCATTGAGTGACTTAATAAATGTCCTAAATCAGGTCTGTGAGCTGATCAATTCATCTATGCAAAGTTATCCATCTGCCATGCATTATTGGAAATGGTTTCCAAATTGTCCCTCAGAAGCTTGAAAGTAATGTTTGCCTCTCCCTTCACCGCCCCCCACCCTCGGGCAACATTCTGCTTTCTGGTTTGTTCTCTGGTATTTGGGATACATAGATTCCTCTTCATTCTTGTGTATCTACCAAAGCAGTTGCTGACAGACAGAGAACCTTTGCCTTTTCATTTTCTGTTTCTTGGATTGTGGTGGTGTTGTTGCGGGGTGGGTTGTAGTGGGTATTCTTGCTGTTGCTGCTGTTGGTTTTTTAACTTTATTTTAGATTTATATGGATATGGTGATTTTTGTGGAAATTGTTCAGTCCGGCTGTCCATTTTCTGATGTTTTATTTATTATTTATGGCTACTTTTGTAATGTTGCATTTACATAATTTTTTTTCACGTTGTAAGCCACCTTGAGCATGAACAAATAAAATTTTGTATGCTTCAGTCACAACAGCACCCTTGATGAAGCCAGGAGGGAAATGCAGGAATATTACTTTTCTGCATACGTGTGTACACACTTCAGTATATTGTTTTCTTATCAAAACTATTTCCTGGACTGGGCAGATGGTTTAAAAAGTTTTGAACAGTAACATTTGAGGAAAAAGAAAACTGTATTTTATCCAAGATGCCAGGAGTCAGAAATCAATGCATCAACTTTAAATGGGGGCAGCACCTGTTTTCATGATTCTGAAAAACCTGGCAAAATCAATGCCTGCTAACTGTTACATTAGCAGGATTCATAAATCTGTACCTTTCCGCACTAAAAATAATTTATAGTCTGTTCATCGCTCAAGCTTGAAAATTATGTGTCAGTGAAACAGTGAAGATTGTGTTTCAGAAAATTCGCTAAATATGGATGACAGTGTGTTTGTTTTCCTTCAAATGTTTCCTCACAGAATGTATAGTGATGGCAACAAAGAACACAGACTAGTTAAACCTCAAATGGGTAAATATGAAGTGAGTTTTCTGCCTCAGTCAGTAGTAAACTGGAACTTTTACCCATCAGGATATTTGTGAGGATGGGGCAACATTCCTTGAAAATGTTCCTTCATTGTGTATAGGGTGATGGGAAACTTTTGATTCTTAGAGGACACTTTATTCTCCAGACACCACTCTAAGGGCCAGAATAATCCAACACCCTCATGGCTAGTTAGACTTGATGATAAGTGGTATTGCCTCGTAGTAAAATGTTCACATATATAACTAAGGGCAGCAATATGGGGTGAGGCAGGCTGAATAATCAATGTACTCCCAGAGCAATCCTTTCAGGAGACAAATTGGCCAGTGGCTCTTTGCCTGTCCAGAATACTCATGAGATAGAAAGATAATGTAACCTTATGCAAAATTGACACAGACACTGGCCTACATCCAAAAAGCTGCTTAGGCTCACACAAGGGGCTTGTGCTATCCAAATATAGTTTTTTGGCTTGACCTTTTAAATTTTAAAAAGGTAAAGGTAGAAGGACCCTGTTAAGTCCAGTTGCGAACGACTCTGGGGTTGCTGCGCTCATCTTGCTTTACTGGCCGAGGGAGCTGACGTTTGTCCGCAGACAGTTTTTCCAGGTCATGTAACTCGTAACTCGCTCTACGTGGGGCTGCCCTTGAGACTGACCCAGAAACTCCAGCGGGTGCAGAATGCCGCAGCGAGACTCCTTACGGGGTCTTCACTGCGGGATCACATTCATCCGGTGCTATACCAGCTGCACTGGCTCCCGGTGGAGTACAGGATCAGGTTTAAGGTGCTGGTTTTAACCTTCAAAGCCCTACACGGCCTAGGACCCTCGTATCTACGGGACCGCCTCTCCTGGTATGCCCCACAGAGGAACTTACGGTCCTCAAATAAAAACATCTTGAAGGTCCCAGGCCACAGAGAGGTTAGGCTGGCCTCAACTAGAGCCAGGGCTTTTTCGGCTGCGGCTCCAACCTGGTGGAACGCTCTGTCACAAGAGACAAGGGCCCTGCAGGACTTGACATCTTTCCGCAGGGCCTGCAAGACAGAGCTGTTCCACCAGGCCTTTGGTTAGGGCACAGCCTGACTCCCTCCTTTGGCAATCTTTACAATACTTTAGTTTATGGTTGCCATCAATTTTGATTTTAATTAATTCTTATGATGTTTTATAATGTTGCACTATTTTAGTGTTGTTAGCCGCCCTGAGCCCGGCTTCGGCTGGGGAGGGCGGGATATAAATAAAATTTATTATTATTATTATTATTATTATGTGGCCAGCATGACTAAGCCGCTTCTGGCAAAACCAGAGCAGTGCATGGAAATGCCTTTTACCTTCCCGCTGGAGCGGTACCTATTTATCTACTTGTACTTTGATGTGCTTTCGAACTGCTAGGTTGGCAGGAGCAAGGACTGAACAATGGGAGCTCACTCTGTCGTGAACAGCTGGCTAGGCTATGTCACAGAATTCTCCTCCTTTCCTTAAGTAGTTTGTCACATCACATGGAAAGGTGCTGTTAGTCTTTTGTCAAACTTTCTGTTTTACTCATTTCACAGTGCCTTAAAACAAACAAACAAACAAGCATTTTTTTTCCAGTTTTTAAAATGAGAATGACTTTTAAAAAACAAAATACAACAATACAATGCAGATCAGTCAAGTTCATGTCAAGATTAATAAACATTTCATCTGTCTAATTATATAACAAAATAAGTGCCAAGTGTAAGATACATACATTAAAGTAAACGTGTGTGTGTGTGTGTGTGTGTGTGTGTGTGTGTAGGAATCCATCAAATACAGTTTACCCCAAGGGATCTCTCCAGAATGTTCTATGTGTTGTCAGTGAATTCCAGACATGTTCTCTCTGAGGTAAATATGGAATAAAACTGTGCCATTGGTTTCACAGTTCTTGGCCAATGATATATTTATTTTTCATTATTCATATATACAATAATATATCTTCTTGCCTTCATGCTACAATGGTAGTCTGGCAATTTCTTAATCTGTGAAGATCAGGTTATCGGTGCCAATGCAATGCTAGCCATATGCAGCATCGCCACAAATGGAGGAGAGTTTCCTATCTGGAAGCGATCTTGATTTGTGGAAGATTAGGATAAAAATAAAATACCTCCCTCTAATACTGAATCATCACAAAAGTGCACATGACACTACTAGATCTCAGAAATACAACGTAAGCACAGTTAATCTCTCATCCTGAGGGGTGAGGATGTCACAGTAGAGAAGACAGACAGGTCTCTGGGGGATTAAAGAAGCTGAATCTAAAGCTTAAAATAATCATCACATTTTACAAGCCGGCAGATCAAAGCCAGGTTTCCACCAGGCAAGATGAACCCATATCAGGGAGCATTTGCTGCAGATAAAAGAGGCATCAAAGGAGGACTCAGGCAGCTTCTCTAAGTTTCATTTCCAGCTCACTCACTAGATTTGCTCTTTCTTACAGTCCCTGTCCTATGCAGATCTACCTCCATAGAGGTGAACATCCCTAAGGATCTAGTTGGAGGGATGGACCTTTCACTCATCAATGGTTCCTGCAAAGGGGTATCCAATGGAACACATGTCAACATCATCTTCTCCCTGAAATCCTGTGGTACCACTATAGATGTACGTATGAATATTAGCTTTTTCCTGTTGGCTGGAAGGATGTATCTCCATTAGAGACTATCAATCCTATAACATTGAATCTGTGCAATTTTGGTGTATGTAAGAATATTCTCAAGAGCACATTGACACTGAAAATCTACATTGGTTTTACTTCAACCTTTCCAGAACAATTCCAGGAATGAGTGTTTCTTTTATATTAGATTTCAGTATTAGCCACACACTTACACCCAACAGCATACTAAATAAGCAAAAGAACAAGAAACACCTCTGTTAAAATTAGTTTTTAAGAAAATATTCACCTGGAAACAGAGGAGACTGAAGCTGCCCTTTGTTGGCTGACAAAGCTCTCAGCTCTCAGCTTCCTCAACTGCTCCTGATCAATCTTATAGCTATTTAATTGAGTTTCCACTCTCTTTTCTGTATTTAAAGTACATTTAAAGTAAGGTTCTTATGTATTTTTAAAGTACATAAGAAGAGCCCTGCTGGATCACTCAGACACCCGTCAAATCCAGCATCCTGTTCTCAGCATTGTGCCTCTCACAAGCTTTTTAATGAAAATTATCACAGCTGGAGTGATTACTCTCTTTTCCCCCCTTATAGCTATTGACACACATTCAATTCTGAAATTTGGGAGACATTTCTATTTCCCTTATATTCCATATCCCATACCTGTTTCGCTAACCATCCACCAACCACTGGAAATCTTATTTGGCCATCCCTAACATTTCAGCATGCCCACACACTTTCCCTCTTATCTTGGTTAGCATACATAGAAACATGGTTTTTTTCTAGCAGGTTCATAGCTTGGGGGCACTCCTGGATCCTTTGCTGCCACTCAAGGCTCAGGTGGCCTCAGTGGCCTGGAGTGCCTTCCATCAGTTTTGGCTGGTGGCCCAGCTATGCCCCTATCTGGACAGGGATAGCCTAATTACTGTTGTCTATGCTCTGGTTAAGGGACGCGGGTGGTGCTGTGGGTTAAAGCCTCAGCGCCTAGGGCTTGCCGATCGAAAGGTCGGCGGTTCGAATCCCCGCAGTGGGGTGCGCTCCCGTTGCTCGGTCCTAGCGCCTGCCAACCTAGCAGTTCGAAAGCACCCCTGGGTGCAAGTAGATAAATAGGGACCGCTCCAGCTGGAAGGTAAACGGCGTTCCATGTGCTGCGCTGGCTCGCCAGATGTAGCTTTGTCACGCTGGCCATGTGACCCGGAAGTGTCTCCGGACAGCGCTGGCCCCCGGCCTCTTGAGTGAGATGGGCGCACAACCCTAGAGTCTGTCAAGACTGGCCCGTACGGGCAGGGGTACCTTTACCTTTACCTATGCTCTGGTTAGGACGCGAGTGGCACTGTGGGTTAAACCACAGAGCCTAGGACTTGGCAATCAGAAGGTCAGTGGTTCGAATCCCCATGACGGGGAGAGCTCCTGTTGTTCGGTCCCTGCTCCTGCCAACCTAGCAGTTCAAAAGCACGTCAAAGTGCAAATAGATAAATAGGTACCGCTATGGCGTGCTCTGGTCCATGGGGTCACGAAGAGTCGGACACGACTAAACGAGTAAACAACAACAACAATGGCGGGAAGGTAAACTGTGTTTCCGTGGTTCGCCAGAAGTGGCTTAGTCATGCTAGCCACATGACCCGGAAGCTGTATGCCGGCTCCCTCGGCCAATAAAGCGAGATGAGCGCTGCAACCCCAGAGTCGGCCACGACTGGACCTAATGGTCAGGGGTCCCTTTACCTTTACCTTATGCTCTGGTTAGATTATTGCAATACGTTATACATAGGACTGCCTCTGAAGACACTTTGGAAACTTCAGCTAGTGTAGAATTCAGCGGCCAGGTTGCTCACTGGAGCAAGATGGTTTGAGCATATTATACTGATCCAACTGCAAAGTGATGGTTTTGACCTATAAACTTTAAATGGCTCAGGACCACAATACCTCAAGGACTGCCTCTTTCCAAATGAACCTACCCAGACCCTGAGATCACCTTCTGAGGACCTACTCGAGAGGTCTGGTGGGTGGCAACATGAGAACGGGCCTTCTCTGCAGTGGCTCCCTATCTGTGGAATGCTCTCCCCAGGGAAGTTTGCCTGGCGCCTTCACTATACACCTTTAGGTGCCAGGCAAAAACATTCCTTTTTAACCAGGCCTTTGGTTGATCTGATTGACATCCTATGCCCTTTTAAAATGTCGCTGGGCTGAAACCTCTGGGTAAAGGGGGGTATATAAATTCAATAAAATAAAATAATAATAATAATTTTTAAAAGCAAATTTTGACAGTACTGTAGAGTTTCTTGTTCCTAGGAAGCTGTCTTCTGCTCCCACAGAAGCTGACTTCTGTACCTCTCCCCCTGCACTCTTGCAGATTCGCTCACACAGACCCAGGCATAATAGAATTGTTCCTCTTCACATATTTCCTCGTCTATGTCCATCTGGCTTCACAACGTTCTCTTTCCTTCTCTGCCCCAGGTGGTAAATGACAAAATCATCGCTACCAATATGGTGACTGGCTTGCCCAAGCAAACCCCTGGCAGCAATGGCGACATCATTGTCCGCACAGGGAAGCTGTTGATCCCTGTGACTTGTGAATTCCCTCGCCACTACACCATGTCAGAGGGCTACGTCCCCAATGTGAAGAACTCGCCACTTGAGATCGTGAGCCGCAACCGGGGGGTCTTCCCCTTTACCCTCGAGATATTCAAAGACAATGAGTTTGAAGAGGCCTACGGAGATGCTCGCCCCACCCTTAAACTCCGAGATTCTCTGTATTTTGGAATTGAGCCCTTGGTGCACGTGAGCGGTCTTGAGACATTAGTGGAGAGCTGTTTCGCCACCCCTACCTCCAAGACTGACGAGATCCTGAAGTACTATTTGATTCGAGATGGGTGAGTGTTGGCGCTGCTTCTTTCATTTCCCTGATGTTTCAAAAACCCCTGTTCTCGTTGCTGTTTTGGGTCTCTCAGAGCATGGAGGATAACAGAAAGTGCCACCCCTTTCTCAAGGCAAAATGGTTTTTTTCTGCTGCCCGTCAGAACAGTCACCAGCTGTCATGGCTACCCAGGCAAAGCTACCCACTTCATAAAAAGGAACCAGAGGGAGCCGTTGGGTGAGCAAATGGATGTCTTACAACTGCAGTTACAGGAGCCAACTCTCCCTGTGATTGTAATGACTGGTAATTAATTTGGTGCCAAGAGTTAAAGCCATTTGCCCTTCTTTGTAGGCCATCTGGTGACCCACCATTAGAGCATATTTAGCCAATTAGCAGAATTGTGATCTTCAGTGATTGGATTACTTCAGTGGGAAGCCTGCTTAAGGCCCTCAATGAGGCATGGGTTTTTTCCCCCTTGCAAAATATTCCTTTATAAAATAAGTCCCCCTGGACTGGAGATGTACATAAGTACTCTGGACTTCTTTCACATCTTACTGTCATTATTTGAAGAGGCCTTTTACACATTCCATTCCCCACCCCCAGTAGCGACAATCCCCACCATAGCAATTGCTGGGGCATAGGACTCTTCAGATATAAGTCAGCAGAAAGGATTTGACCAAGTGCTATAATATATACATAGTTCCATGCTCTCCATCTTCCCAAGAATGAGTTCCTGGGTAGACTCTTGCAGGGTCAGTTTTCTTGTGAGGAAAGCATTCTGGAGACTTGGCTGACATGTTTCTACACATATAGACCAACCAGAGAGTGAAACAGAAATGCTTTCATTCTCCAATCATGAACTCTATCCTTCCCACTTAAATGTGCTTCTCCTGCAGATGGGGACAAGGATAAATTGCAATGGCCTGGCATTGCCCTCAAAGGCCTTCAAGCCTATTCTTCACCATCAAGTGCGAAGTCATATGCAAGCCTAGAGAGTTTTGGGGGGTCGAGAGAGTCAATCTGTGAAAGCAAAGAGCATGTTCGCAGCAGCATGTGTAGTGGCTTTTAATTGAATTGTTCCTCAAGCAGTTAGCAGTGTGTCAGTATCATTACATCAAGACTTATTACTGTTTGGCCCAAGGACTTCCGTGTTTTCTATACGGTTGGCTCATTAAATCTACCAGGATCCCTTCGGGCACTCCAAAACCTCAGGCTCCAAACATCCACTCGCTGCCTGCAACTTGGAACATTGTGAATGGTTTGTATGTATTTTTAACGGCAGCAGCAAGGAGAAAAAGAGGAACAACAAATGCATAGGAGAAGACAGGAGGCCGAGCTCTGGGGCTTCCAGAACTCCACGTTAATCGTGATGAGCAGCTCCTCCTGTTAAAAGGCTCTTGTATATTTATGGCATGTGTGCCCTGCAACCCCATTGCTGCCTTTATCCTCTAGAGGGCATCTCGAGACAGCAAAATGGAGGCTGGGTGTGATGGAACAGGCATAAGGCTGGCTTCAACATACCTTTTATTTTTATTTTTGCCAGTGTTGCAAAGTTGGAAATAATTTTCTGAGCTTCAACGAACAATTTTTGCCGGCTAATGGCCAAAACCAGGATTCAGTTTCACAGATTTAATGCATGGGAGAGAGGGGTACGATCAGACATGTTTCAGCATTAGGAAGGAGAGTGCTTAAATCTTTGGGCACTTATACCGGCTGTTGCTTCAATCTGTCCCAAAATTTATAAGGAAACAGGTGAAATCTGTGCCTAGTCCCAGATTGTCTGTCAGAGAAAAAAGGTGGGGTTCATGTGGAAATAAGTTACAGTAAGAGCTGTTTGCCAGTAGAAGAGACTCCCATGAGAGGTGGTGGACTCTCCTTCAATGGCCACCTGTCATGTATGATCTGGTTGAGATTCCTGCATTACAGGACAAGGTGACTCGGTGTCCCTTCCAACTATACAAGACTAACCAAGAGAGAGACCCCTTCCTGGCTAAGAGCTGAAAGTGCCTCTCGCTTCAGTTGCCATTGGAAAGAAGTGTTCAAAAGCTCTGTGAAGTGCAATCAAAGACATGCACATACACAGTCCTGCTTGCAGGATTAAGTACCCTCCCAAGCTACACATTTGGGAGCCTTGTGAGGTATTTCTGTTGCTAGCCTGCTGCTCCACTATAGATGGCAAGCAAGTCAGGTTGGCTGGATGTTTCCTCACATAAAACACCTCGCTTTGCACATAACAGACCAGCAAGTCAGGCAGGAGGACTAACTTCTCTTGCTGGTATCTATGTGCAGACTATCTTGTGCTTTAGACAAAGCCAACTACTCGCACCACCACCAATATATATTTTTTACTCTGGTTTCTCCTCAGATCGTTTTTTCACCCCAATTTCTTTTTTCCAAAAACATGTCTTTGTATGGATTGCTTCAGAAATGCTAAAAATTCTTCAGAATATGAAGTAAAAGTAAAATATTATCAGAAATTTATAAGAGATATCAAAAACTAATTTGTATAAAACTGTGCCCCTCAAAGGTCAGTACTACTGCATGCCTCTGAGGGGGCTACCTAGTTGGCCTAATGACAGTACTGGTTCTGTCTATGTGAGGGGAGTCTTTAAAATGGAGGAACATCGAAGGTTTTGGGGTGCAATCCTAAACATGTTTACTAGTGATAAGCCTCATAATGGGACTTCCTTCTGATTAAACCGGTACACGATTGCACCGCCAATCCCCCACCTTTAGTCTGAAGTGTTCCAGAGCAGCAAGATACTGATCATGCACTCCCTCTCTTGTCAAATGACACACAATCACCAGGCAGTGACTCTGAGACATTTATTTTCATGTTCTTCACCTGCTGTTTAAAAGCAAAGCAAAGCAAAAAGTATCCATACCCCCAAACAGTATAATCAAAACTGACTGTTATACTGCTGTACCCTTGGGGTTTAAAGTTGTATAAAATACAAGTTCCCCAGGGGGAGCAAGGCTAACATCTGTTGCAGCAAAAACAACAGAAAGTCCTGAAGCACCGTGAAGACTAATAATGTTATATTGTGGCATATTTCATGACTTAGTCTCCACTTCATCACATGCAGGGCCTAAGCCACTAGGCCTATTTATTTATTTAAAGCATTTTTACCACACGCTATGGTCAGAAAAGGGGACGCGGGTGGCGCTGTGGGTAAAAGCCTCAGCGCCTAGGGCTTGCCGACCGAAAGGTCAGCGGTTCGAATCCCCGCAGCGGGGTGCGCTCCCGTTGCTCGGTCCCAGCACCTGCCAACCTAGCAGTTCGAAAGCACCCCCGGGTGCAAGTAGATAAATAGGGACCGCTTACTGGCGGGAAGGTAAACAGCGTTCCGTGTGCTGCGCTGGCTCGCCAGATGCAGCTTTGTCACGCTGGCCACGTGACCCGGAAGTGTCTCCGGACAGCGCTGGCCCTCGGCCTCTTGAGTGAGATGGGCGCACAACCCTAGAGTCTGTCAAGACTGGCCCGTACGGGCAGGGGTACCTTTACCTTTTACTATGGTCAGAAAACAACTCTCAGGGCAGGTTACAAAGATCAGTAGTAAAACAGACCTGGTGTACTATTTGACAGACATGAAACATAAGCATAAGGAATGGGAAGAGAGGAGGAGAAAAGCAAGCTCGTGCATTACTTCTTAAAGTTGCAGTTCTTATAACATTAAGCTGGGATGGAAACAATTCAAGGAGCCTGGTGGAATGGCTGCAGTTGAGAGAGAGAGCCATAGGCGGCTGGTCTCCCAGCAGAGATGATGAAATAGTCTTACTTTGCTTCTTTCCCTGTGCTCTGCAGTCTGATATACAGGTACTTTCATTACAAACAATTAATGAAATTTCCTTTCAGGATTGTTCTTTTAAACGACACACTTTTGTAATCAATTAAGAACCAACCATGCCTTCAAGGGCACCCTTATTGATGAACACTTTGGCAGCATCTGGTGTTTACCTTGTCTTCTAAGATATGTGGATATTTGTCTTTTCTAGATGCATCTCATAAATTTTATAAATTCCCTCTAGAGATCCATCTTTGTACCCGCTGCCTTTGGAGCAATTTTAAAACTGCTAACCCTAAACTCATTTTTTAAATTGAAAATTTGCCAGGCACGTAGCTTGTGGTCTGTGAATAACTGCTTGATACCGACTTCATAATTCTTTATTAGATTGCATGTAAACAACCCTCAAATATGTAGGCTATTTCCACGCACAAAAAACCTGCGACGGAACTTTTTTCCTGCTTTGCTGGATTTAAGCAGAATTCGCTGTTTTAACATCTATTTTTAGGCACTGACAGGGTCAACATCCTAGGGAGTCTGAAAAATAAACACTCGCGATAAAGAATTTATTCACCATCTTCAGGCTGCATCTGGAGAACCGAGGGAGAAATTCAGTGTCACCCAATGTTAAGCCTTCCATCAGGGCATTTCAGCTTGCCAGATGGAACATCCTTTTCAGTGGGGTGGGGTGTGGGCTGCCAACCCACCTAGAGCCAATTTCATAGGGGGGACCCTGATGTACAGACAGAAATCCCTGCACATGTCTTCTGCCATCGGTAACTGTTCGGTGAATTCCACCCGAATTACAATGCTCACTTCTGGACACCACATATTGTAAATAATAATAATAACAACAACCCATTGACAAAATGGAGCTTTTTCAGAGAGTGGTTACTGGGATGGTGAGGGGTTTTGGAAATTGAGTCTGAGGAAAACCAGTTGGAAGAACTGGGAATGCTTAGCCTGGAGAAGAGGAGATGAAAGAGCGTTATGATAATAGACTTCAGTTACTCTCTTATTTTAGGGTAATCTTCCTATTGGTAAGAGTCAATTAGAGGAGAACACACTGGAAACTTCAGTTTTATTCACAAATTCACTGAACAGGTATCGTGGAGGTGTGGAAGCCAGGTTTTTCTAGTCCTAAAGCAACATTGGTAGTCCTCCACAATCCAAATGAGGTCCCTGTGAACTGCTGCCACTCAATCTTCCTCACACAACTCATTCATACACTTGCCTATTCAGGCAAAACTTGTAGTTGTGATCTACATTCCAGGTGTCCAGTTGCTTGCTGTCTCTCTCATATATCTCTAAACACCCCACCCATCTGACTGCTTTGCCCCAGCCACTCTTCAAATGACACATCATGTCCCAGAGGTGTTGTTGTTGTTGTTGTTTAGTCGTGTCCGACTCTTCGTGACCCCATGGACCAGAGCACGCCAGGCACTCCTGTCTTCCACTGCCTCCTGCAGTTTGGTCAGACTCATGTTTGTGGCTTCAAGAACACTGTCCAACCATCTCGGCCTCTGTCGTCCCCTTCTCCTTGTGCCCTCCATCTTTCCCAACATCAGGGTCTTTTGCAGGGAGTCTTCTCTTCTCATGAGGTGGCCAAAGTATTGGAGCCTCAGCTTCAGGATCTGTCCTTCCAGTGAGCACTCAATATGCCTGTTGTCTTTGTCCATGGAGTTTTCTTCGCTGGGATACTGGAGTGGCTTGCCGGTTCCTCCTCCAGGTGGATCACGTTTGGTCAAAACTCTCCACTATGACCTGTTCATCTTGGGTGCCCTGCTCGGCATAGTTCATAGCTTCTCTGAGTTATTCAAGCCCCTTCGCCACGGCAAGGCAGTGATCCATGAAGGGGTGTTAGTTTGAAGTGATCCAGTTAGTTTGAAGTGATCCAGAGGTGTTAGTTTGTTGTAATATGGCATAAGCTTTGAATAACAGAGGAACATAAATCACAACAGTACAGTACATTAATTTTCTTTACATATACGCTATGTTAACCTTTAGACAGCGAGTGCCTGGGATGTGTATCTGCAACAACAACAAGGTTTGGAGCATGCTAAATATGTCAACTAAAACATTTCCTCCTTTTTGGTGATAATGTAAGGAGCTGCATTCAAGTGGCAATCATTCTGACTAAAAATGTAATTAAATCCTGCCCAATGAGCCCTTTCTTTCCCACCCCTGGATAAGCAGTTAATTAGCTATTTATGCCATAAGTCCAAGTATTAAATATCATTATACCCAGGGGAAGAGCATAATAGTTCAAGTCTGTTTCTTTCCTCTTCCTATCTACAGCGTTTAGAACATTCAAAGTCCACATTCCTGAGATTAGGTTGCTGGAAAGAAAAATGCCATGTTGTCTTATATTGCAAAACCAGATGGCTTCTTTCTTCTTCTTTTTTTCTTTTTGAAAGGACAGGTTACTGAAAAATAACATCTATCAATTAATTTTTTAAAAAAATTCCCTTCCAGAAAAGATTCTGCTCCTGTAATAAGAAAACACCAGATACAATACATCACATAATTCTGGATTGCCCTCTTCTCAATTAATTCATAGCTGGGGCATTTTCCGTAGTATTATATCATACTTTTGAAGGGAATGACATTTACAGTGCATACTTCATCTACTTCCTCTGAATTAATTCCACTAGTTTCAATTCTGGATTAACTGGGTTGAGAATAAGATGTCGTGTCATGTTCAGATGAAAGCCTACTAAGATAACTGTATGACTCATCCATTTTTTGGTATCACAGGCCCCCAAACCTCAGAGGTATAATCATCCCAAAGAATTTCTGGTTGGAGAGAGACAAATAGTTCTTGTGGGAGCCAAATACAGCTTGAAATAGGCATTGCCTTGCAAAGTATGCATCTGACTGACTCATTGGCACCTCTGGTCAACTAGATTTGGCAGGCCTGTGTGGAATAAATGTAGAGCAAGGACTTGAAGTCAAAATGTGGTCCTACAGACCTCTTTATCTGGCTCATGGGACTCTCCCCCTCTTCCTGGCTAGAATTTGCCTTGAACTCTGATAGTGTTTCTTGCTTAACTGGACATTACCTGGAAGGAGGCTATAGTGAGTTGTGCGTGTTTGAATATAGAAACTAGCCTGCTATACAAAGGTAACATTCACATCCATTGCTGTCCATGGAGGCGCAGGTTAATTCTGTGTCCAGGGCAGCTGTCTACCAGCTCCATCTGGTACACAGGCTAAGATCCTACCTGCCCACAGACTGTCTCACCAGAGTAGTGCATGCTCTAGTTATCTCCCACTTGGACTACTGCAATGTGCTCTATGTGGGGCTACCTTTGAAGGTGACCCGGAAACTGCAATTAATCCAGAATGCGGCAGCTAGACTGGTGACTGGGAGTGGATGCTGGGACAACATAACACCGGTCTTGAGAGATCTGCATTGTTCCCAGTATGTTTCCGAGCACAATTCAAAGTGTTGTTGCTGACCTTTAAAGCCCTAAACAGCCTCGGTCCAGTATATCTGAAGGAGCGTCTCCACCCCCATTGTTCAGCCCGGACACTGAGATCCAGCGCCGAGGGCCTTCTGGCGGTTCCCTCATTGCGAGAAGTGAGGTTACAGGGAACCAGACAGAGGGCCTTCTCGGTAGTGGCGCCCACCCTGTGGAATACCCTCCCTTCAGATGTGAAGGAAATAAGCAGCTATCCTATCTTTAAAAGACATCTGAAGACAGCCCTGTTCAGGGAAGTTTTTAATATTTAATGCTGTACTGTTTTTAACATTTGATTGGGAGCCGCCCAGAGTGGCTGGGGAGACTCAGCCAGATGGGCGAGGTATAAATAAATTATTATTATTATTATTATTATTATTATTATTATTATTATTATTACAGAAATGTAGAGTTGGAATGGAACCATGGGGGACATCTAGTCCAAGAATCATTTCAAACCCACAACCCTGAGATTAACAGTCTCATGCTCTATCTACTGAGCTATCCCAGGTTCAAATGCAGCCCTTGGGCTGAAATACTCCTCAACGTTGGTGTAGACCTTCAAGATTTGTGCATTTCTTTCTTTCAAGCCACCTTTAACTATGGTTTGTTTCCTGCCTTAGTACTTACAATCCAAGCTGCAAAGCTGTTACAAGACCCAATGAATCAACAGGATAAAGTAAAAGGCTGCTGTGAAAAGTTACTTTATTTTTGTGATAATTTGGTGTTTTTGAGAATCAGAAAGGGAAGGAAGAGATGATGATGTTTCCAGAGTGCCTTTAGTTCTAAAACTATATTCTTTGAACTAAATGCTAATGTCTGCTTGAGCCAGCTCTTTATTATCTGTGTATCTCTGGTCAAAAAGGTGAACTGAGGATAATCTTGATTGCAATACATTGGCAAATTACTTGGCTTTCAGTGGGGGGGGGGGGAGAGGGAGAGAGCATGCTCAAAGATTCACTGTGCATTCTGACAATTTTTCTGGCTGCTTCCCCCCCTCCTCCAATTTCTGGCAGTGCTATTGATTCTCACTTCTGTTTTTCCATCCACTCTTCATTTTTGGATGTTATGCCACTAACACATCTATTAAGCAAGGAGAGTCAGCTTCTCTACCCTGCTGCCTCTGTTCTTGGAGGAACGTGCTGCGATTTCCCCACCCACAGTCTGTGAAAACCATTAACATTTTTCTCTTTCTTCAGCTGTGTTTCTGATGACTCTGTGAAGCAATACACATCTAAAGATCATCTGGCCAAGCACTTCCAAGTTCCAGTGTTCAAATTTGTGGGTAAGGACAACAAGGTGAGTGAAAATGCACAGCAGCTGCTCCTTTAGCAGTTTGCTAGCAAAACATCTGACACATGCATGGACAATAGATGCAGGAGGTGCCCTTGAAGGATGCAAATCAGAGATGCATTGCCTTCTTCCAGTTCTTCATAAGGGATTTCACTTTAGGAAGAGGGTAAGGATAACAGTTTGCTGGAGATGCTTTTCCTAACGCTGGTTCCCTGTCTTCTGCTTTTATTTCATACTTTCATACTGACAGTGTAGGAATGACAAAGAGGGTGATTGAGAATATATATATATGTATACAATGCACACACACATATAATGCAATAAAGGTAAAGGTACCCCTGCCCGTATGGGCCAGTCGTGTCCGACTCTAGGGTTGTGCGGCCACCTCACTTAAGAGGCCGGGGGCCAGTGGTGTCCGGAGACACTTCCGGGTCATGTGGCCAGTGTGACGAAACTGCTCTGGCGAGCCAGCACCAGCGCAGCACACGGAAACGCCGTTTACCTTCCCGCTATAAAGTGGTACTTATTTATCTACTTGCACTTGGGGGTGCTTTCGAACTGCTAGGTGGGCAGGAGCTGGGACCGAAAGACGGGAGCTCACCCCGCCGCGGGTATTCGAACCGCCGACCATGCGATCAGCAAGTCCTAGGCACTGAGGTTTTACCCACAGTGCCACCCGCATCCCATATAATGCAATAGGATGATGCAATATTGTCGTGGGCAGCACTGGCCCCTGTCCCTCTTTCCTTCACTCCCTCCTCTGATGCCCTCTCATGTCTCTGTCTCCCAAAGGCTTCCACAGCTATTTGTTGCAGCAGCCCTGGTTACAAGCTCCTCAGGCAATTAGTGCCTCTGGGGCTAGCCAAGGGGTACTTCCCAAGCCCCTGTGGGGCAGTGTGAGGAGGCACCTCTCTTTGGAGGTGGAGCTCAGAGACCAGGGGTGGCAGCTGTGGCTGCCCGGAGGACTCCCAAGGAGAGGGGAGAGGAGAGGAGGCTGAGGAAACACTCCACAAGGGATGGTATTTGCAAAAGGGTGAGAGGCTCTGCTAGCTCTGCAGGCAAGGGGTGACATAACTGGGTTCCTGAGCCCCATGGGCTGCTGCAGAAAGAATGTAGTTGGTCAAGGGAGCCGTGGATTCAAAAAGATTGAAAACCACTGGTGTAGATATTCCCTCTACTTGGAAAAGAGACAGAAAAGAGTGCAGCAGAAGCTGAAACTATGTTATCTGTCTAGCTTGTTGACACCACTTTCAACTCCTGTTCAGGAATTGAATACTGTTGCAACCTAAAATTACGTACAACCTGTCTGGTTTTAAGATCACCATCCTGATCAAAACTTTGTGACCTATCTGTTATGATTTTTTTCCTTTCTTATTTAAGCTCATTTTCAATGCAAACAATATGCAAAACATGTACGCAAAAGTCTGGCGGTTTGGAGTGGAGGTGTCTGCTGGATCAATATTTGACCTGCTTTGTTTTGTGGCATAAAATCCCAGTGCAGCCTTTTCAGTCGATTTCTTCTTCTCAGGAGCAGACTACACTGAAGATAGAAGGAATACTAAGCCCCAGGCAGAATCATTTGTAAGCCTCATAGCCTCAAAAGCTCCAAGCCTAGCAGGTTGCTTCTCTGAACTTCTGTTTCAGACATGCCACTGCAGAAGCCTATAGGTTGCATGTGATTGAGAGGCAAAACAGGATGTTTTCTGAGTTTCTGGCTTCTGTACAAATACTGCTACCACCCACCAACCTGAATTGTTTCCTTTACCTAGCAAATCCCTGGATTCTGCAGATGTGCGTGACAGATTCCCCCAGGCCATTTGGGATGCTTCATATTTGTTTATCTCCTTTTGTATTCAGGAAGTGTTCCTGCACTGCCGTGTCCTTGTGTGTGGAGTGACGGATGAGAGGTCTCGCTGTGCCCAGGGCTGCCGCAGACGGATGCGCAGATGGGCAGAGTCAGAGTCAGAGGAAGCCAGTCACATGGCTAATCACATCCTCACAGGTGGTCCCATTAGAATTGATGTGGATAAGTAGATCTATCTCAGCCTTCACCAACCTAGATCCCACCAGACTACAACCCCCCATTTTGGGCCTACAGCCTCCATGCTGGTTGAGGCTGATGGGAGTTGTAGTCCAAAGCATCTGGAGGGCACCAGGTTGGCAAAGGCTGTCTTATCTTGTGAACATGCTGCCTCACTGATGCTTTCTCCTATGTACCTTCGATAGTGAGCAATCATCTGTGTTTGGCAAGAAAATAAAGGCAACATACAAAACAAAACCATGTGATTTCCTCTTTCCCCAGTGAAAGCCTATGATCTTTGCTAAGGTCATATTAGATGCAATCTCATCCAAATGCTGTTTGATGTCTGATAATGGATGGTTGGAGCAAAATTAAATGGGCCATTTGAATCACAGGGATGACAATGGTACCAATTTTTGTTAGAAATCATTAGTTCAAAGAGCATGTAAAATGTCCAGATCTATAACATTTTCATGAATAGGAATTTGGGTTTTTTACAAGGCTACACTGACACAGAGGAGGGGGACACTATCTGCAACACACCAACAACTTAACTAGCACACTTGATCATTTTTAGGTGTTGAAATCAACACAAACTAAGGGGTGCAGAGGGTGCAGAGTGGTTCAAAATCTAGGAGTTTTGAACCACTTTATAGTATTTAAATGGTGAGATCCTATATCATCATGACCTAGAAAAATCTTTCCTAAAGCTAGATGAGCCAGTGGCATAGTAATTTGCAGTCTGGAAAGGTGTTGAAGCTCTTCACAGCGACAGATTCATGAACACCAATCCAAATGTCAGTGTGATAGATCTCACCCAGTAAAAGATGGCTGCATGACCACTGAAGCTCATAGGATTAATTCAAGTTACTGGATTCAGTGAAAAGAAATGCAATGCAACTCTATTACTGTCTGCTCAGAAGTAAGTACCACCTTGTCCAATAGTGCTTACTCCAAAGTAAGTGTGCATAGGGTTACCAACTTAGTCTCTATTTCCTATTCAATAAATTTTGTGGACTTCAGTGATACTGTTGGGGAACATCTTTCTCTATAGTACACAAAGTACTTATGCTAGAATCAGGGCCAGTCCTTCCATTAGGCAGAAGGGGGCAGCTGCCTCATGCAGCAGATGCTGGGGAATGGGCAGCTGTTGCCTTCATGTGAGATGCTGCCTTCAGGTGTAGTAAAATTAAACTTCCAGTCAAGTTGGTTTCAATAGATAGAATGGGGGGGGGCTCCCTTTTGTCCTTCAACAAAAGCAGGAAAATGCCTTTGGCAAGCTCTGGCCAGGAAAGTCCAGAATTTGTGTTGTTCCCCTTTAAAGCATTTGCATTGTCTTCTTCCTATATCTTCTCTCTACTTTTTGTAAGGATTATTAAGAAATATTTTGTTGGTCGTAGCCAAATGCCTTGCGTAGGCTCACTGTCAGCACCGATGTAAGATATATGCACCATGTGTTCAAACTATATAATCTACACTAAAAAAAGCAAGCTTCAGAACTAGGTGCTGAAAATTCTATATGTTTTAACTTGCTAACTGTGTATTACTAGGAAGTTCATTAATTGTAGCATTCTTATAGTGTGAATCTCCATTCTCCATCCCAAATAACAGAGCATTTATGTTTTGTAATGTTTTGATCATATTGCTCTCATCATGCACACCTATTGTTAGGAATTTAAAATATAATGATAAAAGGCAGTATAGGAAACTGATGTAGGGCTGCCATTACCGGGACTTCAGAGGTGGAATTGACGTCTGGGGGAATTTCTGCAAAGCTCAACAACTAACTGATGGACCTACCAAACATCAACCCAGATGGAGGAATGAAATATTGGGAGACAACACACTTATCGCAGGATAGCCTAAATAGGGAGGGGGGATTTATTTAGTTGTGGTATCATGGAAAAGAGTAAATACTGTACTGAAAAGAGTAAATTCTGTAAGCCATTCATAATGTAAATGGATGGACAAGTTCAACATTGTTAAAAACAGCTCCAAGAGTTTCAGATAATCAAGAACCAGAGAACATAAGTTTAGGTGCAGCAGGATATGTTTAGAAAAGGAATCCTGATGTTATTTTATCAGAGGGCAACAGGCAAAATATCAAAAACGTTCAAATTTGGGACAAGTGGCAATTTGTGTTTACAGAGAAATAACCCAGAGGGTCTAAGAGTTATATTTTGGAAGAATAAGGATGGTTCTAAAAATATATATAGTTGTGCCACCCGAAGTTGTAAAATAATAGTAATCCTTTGTAGCTAGAAGAGTGCATCGTAAATGTTACTGGCAAGCTCTGATGTTATTTTGAACTATATATGTTATTTAATAAAAGTTAGTTTTACAACGGCCTACCATAATAAACTTTTCAAATACTCAATATACCTTTGTTTCTTGTTATTAAGCAATATGTATGTTACTTCTCTTTAAGTGGAGCAATGCCTTAATGGAAATAAAATTAAGAGTAACTTCAAAACCCACACTGTGATCTTGTCATTCTTCCCTCTTTTTTTGTCTTTTGGGAAATGCCCAGAACCAGCCATTCTGTGTGCTGTTGAGTAGTCCATGATCCAGGATCACTGGTGCAACCCTGCACCTGTTTTTCCAGTAGAATGGGATTCTCATGACCCTTGACTAGCTCTACACCACTATGGCAGCATTTAATGTCTGGTGATAGCAGCCAGTCGGCTGTGTGAATATTTGCTGCAGAAATTTCTATAGCCAATGTCACGTTTTCTCTGTATCCTTTGTCACATCTGGAATGCTCACACACACACATCGCAGTTGGTCTTCACTGAGGTTTGTCATTATGCCAAACAGATGCTTTGGGAAGGTGAAAGAAGTTGTCAGATGGAACAGACGAGAGTGCCGGGCCAAGGCAATCGGTTCCACTCTTCAAGCTGCAATTAAGGCATTTGCAGTGATCGCAATGATCTGCTCCCCTAATGTAACCGCTGCCAAAAATGGCACCTGTGTAGGGAGTAGAGACCAGACCCGCTTCTAAGCAAGGGGGCACACGAATCCAGAGCCATTGCTGTCAGGCAGTTTGACGCTCACCTCACAACTCTTCCCGTTCTTCCTCCTGACAAATGCAAGCGCTTCTTTGGCTGTCCATGAAAGGACGGCAGCCCAGAGTCCTGACTGTTTTAAATACGGCGTCGGCTACTGATTCACATGCTGGAACAGAGGACAAAGGGGAGCATGTCAGGACCAATCACCAATTTCCACTGTGTGCCTACTGAGGTTTGGTCTGCTTCTCTATAGGCAGCTGCTTGTCATACAGACAGCTTCATGATCCATCATACCAAGGGGAGCTGGTTTAGCTTAATTGGAACTGCCAGCTGAGAAGTGCTGGCTATGAGACATCCCTTACATCTAAAGTGGATGGTTTCCCCTAAAGAATCCCCAGGAATGGTGCTGGGAACTGTAGCTCTGTGGGGGGTAAGCTACAGTTCCCAGGTTCCTGTGTCTGGTGTAGCTGATAAGCAGTTCTGTCATTTGCATTGCAAATTTCTTTGTTTATTGCTAGGATTTCAACCTCACTTTTCCATAAAATGTTGTCATGTTTGTGCTCAGCCAAAGACTATTTTGTGGATGCTTACTAGAATATCACACTATAGTCCAGGGGTGGGAAAACCTTTGGCCCAGAAGGCCATATCTTTATCTCCCCTGAACCTCTTGGGCCAACTTTGCCAGGTGGTGATGGGGAACCACCCACTTGTCAATCATCTGAAGTCATGATGATATTGGGTTATTGACGCATGCCACTGTTGAGCCATGACGATGGTGCTGTTCCCAGTTCTACCCAAACACCCAACAAGCACCTGATATCTGGGTGCTGTGCCTAGGACTGAGCAAGTTTTGAAAGCCCAGTGCTTGGGAAGTGGGTTGTCGGGCTGGTTGGGAAGTGCTGCACAAAGCATTCTGCAAGTTCTCCCCTCAGCGCTTGCCGAGCATTAATCATAGGGTTTGCAAAGCGCTTTGCTTAGCGTTTCTGAAGCGCTCAACATCTGGTTGTTGGGTGCTTTGCAAGCACTGCACAAGGAGCTTTTCAGGCACTAAGTGCCTGCAAAGCTCCTTTTGGCCAAGCTCCGCCCTTGCCTTCCCCATGCCGGACATCAGCTGTAGGGCAGGTGGGCGTAGCTTGCCCCAAATGCCAAAGCTTGCCAAATGGAGAAGTCTGGCAGGCCAAATTTGGCCTGTAGGAGAAAGGTTCCATACCCCTACTATACTTGACTGTTCCCTTTCTTATTAACAGTTAAACAAAATATTACATTTATAATCAGACTCTCTCAACCTTCTTCTTTTTAAGTAAATAGCAGGTTTGTGTGCATGTGCTGCCTCCTCAAGAGGTCCAGAGGGTGGCAACATGAGAACGGGCCTTCTCTGCAGTGGCTTCCCGTCTGAGGAATGCTCTTCCCAGGGAAGTTCACCTGGCGCCTTCATTATACACCAGGCAAAGACGTTCCTTTTTAACCAGGCCTTTGGTTGATTTGATTGACATTCTATGCCCTTTTAAACTGTGGGGGTTTTTTGGGGGGGGGGTTATTGGGTTGTTAGGGAAGCGGGTGGCGCTGTGGGTAAAAGCCTCAGTGCCTAGGGCTTGCCGATCGAAAGGTCGGCGGTTCGAATCCCCGCAGCGGGGTGCGCTCCTGTTGCTCGGTCCCAGCGCCTGCCAACCTAGCAGTTCGAAAGCACCTCCGGGTGCAAGTAGATAAATAGGGACCGCTTTCTAGCGGGAAGGTAAACGGCGTTTCCGTGTGCGGCTCTGGCTTGCCAGAGCAGCGATGTCACGCTGGCCACGTGACCCGGAAGTGTCTCCGGACAGCGCTGGCCCTCGGCCTCTTGAGTGAGATGGGCGCACAACCCCAGAGTCTGGCAAGACTGGCCCGTACGGCCAGGGTTACCTTTACCTTTATTGGGTTGTTGTTTTGATTATGTATTTTGCGGTTTTATATTTCACTTTTATTCTGTGAACTGCCCTGAGACCTCCAGGTATAGGGTAGTATATAAATTCTAATAATAATAATAAAGGTTCCTGCATCCCTGGCAAAAATGGGATCTAGGAGAGCAAGGGGAAGACCCATAATTAAGTGGGGAGTTTCATTACTTCAATTTAATATAAGTTTTGATCCTCATGGTGCAGAGGAAATCTAGGAAAGTGGGAAGGTGGTATATCTGAAAGGTTTGAATGGCCAATGGGGAAAATGGTCAAGGATGGTTGAAGCTGAGCAACACCTGCAGATTGCCCATCCCTGATGCAAGTGATGAATCGCTAAGATGCTCACAGCATATGATCTTTACAGGGCAACTGGCATGATTTTTTTCTTCGGTTTCTAGTAGGTTGTGTACACCTATAAGTACTAAAACCACACACGTTCCATCATCCTAATGAGACAGGAAGCCAATGATGAGGGAAAGTGTCTTAGAGAATCTGCTGAGAGTCTGCATCAGCAGCTCTGAACTTCCCCATTTATCTTAATTGTTACACTTGGATAATAAATTAGTGACCCCTTTGCCATCTAATTGCTGGAAGCTGAACCAGAGAGGGGTAAATGGTGGGGGGGGGAGGCTAGACACTGTGGGAACAATATTTTTCAACGCAGCACACATTAGGCAGTCCACTCCTCCCCCTCCCCTACCCACTTATTAAGATTCCTAGGGAATCTTTCTGAAAATCTGCTCATCTACACAGGAGGAGTGAAGGGGGAGAAATTGATTTCGTTTGCATTTTAACGCTAAATCCCCAAATTCTCCCACTACAATACTGAAATGCTTCTTGGAAATTGGCCCGTCTCCAGATTTTGCACTGCATTTCTCCAGCCAAAGAATATCTACAAAAATGTAATATTAATGAAAGCTGCGCATAAAAACTCACAGTGAAGTTAACATGCCTTCTGTTGGGGGAAATTGCTCTCGAAAATGAATAAACTCAAAAAAAAAGTTGACTGCGACAAGGTGTGCATCAGGAGAACCGCTTCTTTTTTTAAAACTTCTTTTTTTTAAAAAAAAGAAAGGATTGAAAATATATGTAGAAATATGAGTAACCCAATTTAAGACTGGAAAAATGGGGAAAAACAACCAACATGGACACATCTTCCTATCTTTACACTGAGGTAGCTAATTGGCAGCTCATGAACCCAACATTTGCCTGCGGCCAGACACAGACTGCAAGTTTATGGCCACATCACAACATACATTTAAAGCACTACACTACTACTTTAATCATCCATGGCTTCTCCCAAAAGAATTCTGGGAGCTGTAGTTTGTTAAGGGCACTGAGAGTTGTTACAGGACATCCTATTTCCCTCATAGATCTACAGTTCACAAAGTGGTTTAACCATCAACACCTCTTCCTAGGCAACTCTGAGAATTGATGGGAACTGGGAACTCCTAACAACTCTCAGCACCCTTAACAAATGACAGCTCCCAGAATTCTTTGGGGGAAGCCATGGCTGTTTAAAGTGGTAACATACTGCTTTAAATTCATGTTATGCAGGTTATGTTTGCCCGGTCCACTTTCCATTTGTAACAGCTCCTGCTGATGCTATGTAAAAGTGTGGTGTCTGAAGTGCTAGCAAGTATCTTTGGTGCTTATTAAAATATAATTTGAAATGCCATTACCTGGCATTTTCAGAAGGTAAAATTAAAATTATTTGGCTTTCCAAAAGCAGTTTATCTGCTTCTTCATCAAGCCTAGAATTAGCAAGCTAAATGTTGTCCAATCACAAAAATAACAGCCGGTTTGAATTCCTCATACCCAAAAACATGTTTTTGAGACTGAAGAAACTTGAAAAAATTAAGTTTCACCCCTTCAGAGGACAGTCCCTACTGACTCATTCCCACCAACTGCTTAGGAAGTCAGCCGTCACTGACTTCCACTTCCTTCCACTTAATGCATCCCTGGGTGGAAAACTCACCTGCCACCTTGGAGACGAAGCCAAGGCTGCGCTTGAGGTCGGAGCAGATGGACTGCAAACACCAGCGAAACTTGGCATCGCAGCGGTATTTGTTGGCCCCGCAGGTATCATAGCATATATCCAGCTGGTTGCAACACTTAGTCATGGCAGGGATACCCATATCCAGCTGTACATGAAAGGAGAGGGAAGAAAAGATTCTCTGACACACAACATTGCTTCCCCCCCTCAACTCATATTTTTTCTCTGAATGCTGTCTATAAAATTTAATTTTGCATGGGTTAGCTGCAACGGATTGAACTGTCTGATACTGACAGTTCTTAGGAGACCAGCAGGATGAGAAAAACAGGCTGCAGTGAGATTAAACAATAGCTATGCCTATCAAATAGCCATGTCACTTGTCTTGGGAAACAATGCCATAGTTGCTTGTGCAGAGCTAACATGGTGTCCTTCAGATTTTGTAGGCTCCCAATTCCCCTCAAAGGAGTAACATTGGAAGCCACCTCATACCAAATCAGACCATTGGTCCACTAAGCTCAGCAGTGCCCACAATGACTGTAAGG